TTTGCATGCAGTCAGCGATGTCGACATGAATAAGGCACAATGAATTGCACACACATGGTGGCGACTATGTCGGAGTCTAGGGTATATCTGGTTCGGATGTATGTGTTGGATCATGTATGGTCGTGTTGCATGAAAACGAACAAGTACAATGGGAACACTACGGTTTGCTAAATTAGGGCATCATAAACCTACGCTAACACATATACACCGAGGATCTTCATGCCGACTTCTTGCGCTTGGACGGAGGACGCTGCGCATGTGCGGTCTGCTTGGCCAAGTCGGCCACGGTCTTCGGCATCTGCTCCTCCCAGGTGTCTGGAAACAGGCGGTCGACCCACGTCGTCGGCTTCAGCTCCAGCGCCACCAGCGCACAGGCGAGGCGTAGCTTCGAGACCACCTTGGGGCCAAGCCCCTTGACGCCCATGCCAGGCTCCTTGGACATCGTCGGTGCCGTCTCCGGGTTGAGCACCGTGAGGGCATCGCAGAAGGTCCCAATGCCCGGTGCCGCGATCGTGTTCAGTGCATCGACCACGGCTTCGGTGTCGGCATCGCCGTCGCTCGCGCGTAGCTGGCGCACCGCATCCATGGCCTTCAGCATGCGGCGCACCCTCATGTTGAGTGCACCCTGGGTCGCGCCTTTGAGGAGGGTGTGGCGGTCGATGAACCCCGGCTCGGCGACCCTGTCGCAAAGACGGCGGGTGTCATTGGCGGTGGCGGAGTTCCAGAGGCGCCAAGCGTCCCGCACGGTCTTTGCATCCCGCCACAGTTGCACCACGTTGAGCTCGTAACTGGCCTCCTCTGCCGTCTGGGGGGGTGGCGGGGGTTTCCCATCATCTCTCTTGGCTCCGGTCCCCGTGTTGGCCGAATCCGCGGAGCCACCCTCGCCCGGAGTTTGATCGGTCGCCGACGGCGGCGCCGCCGGCATCCTCCGGGCTTCTGACACACGGAGTGCCTCGGTGAGTCGAGCAAGCTCGGCGGTGAGCGACGCGATGGTGTCGTTTTGCTTCTCGATCGTCTCCTGATAGCCTAGCTTCTCGAGCGCCGAGCGCTCGACCTCCTTCTTTAGCGCCTCCTTGAGGGACATGTTGTGATACTGGGTGTCCATGCGCGCGGATATTTCCTGCAATGTTGAGTGTGCGGAAAGGCGACAAGAGGTTAGAATTCATCGGCTAAAATTCAACGACGCCGACATGGTCGGCGACTCACCTCCGGCTGTATCAGAGTTGGGTCCCGGCGCTTTTTGATCGTATCGGTGTCGACCGACTCGACCCTTTTCGCCCAGTGCTGGAAGAGGGCAATCCTGCAGAGCTTGGAACCTTGGACGTACGGGTGCCACGGTGTGCGGACGAGCTTCACAGCGAGGTCCTCGGCGACGATTCGTCGGAACATCACGAGGGTGCGCAACAAGTGCACTGCGGCTGCATCGGCGTCGCTCCCGTTGACGGCACGCGTCTCCGCCTGCAAGTCGGAAAGTGGTGTGGGTTAGTAGGGAGTTGGGCAGCCAACAAGGCCACGACGACTGAAAAACATTGTCGGCGTCGCGTGACATACATCGCGCAGCATAGCATCCACGCCGGGGAAGATGTGCTCGGCGAGCAGGTCCAGGAGTTTGTCGGAGGGCTCGACCCTGCTGCGCCCCAAGAAGTAGTCTTGCTTGAGTCCCGAGTAGCCAGCCTTCTGCATCACCACCCCAACGGGGATGGCCGTGATGTACGCACGCGTCATCTTGTCGAGAGCCCAGTGTCCCAGCTCGGCGATCTGGGCGCGCGGCGTCCCTCCGATGGCTAGCTCCTGCGCACCACCGGCGCGGGCGGCGTGCACGTTCCTTTTGCAGAACACCTTGTTGGTCCTCCACATCTGCCGAGTCCAACGTTGGTGGGTGGCGGAGGAGAGCTCCTCCTGCTCCTTGTCGTTTCTGGCGAAGAAGAGATGCTTCTTGTACCAGCGTTCGCGTTCTGTGGTGTCAAGCGGCGAAAGGAAGTCGGTGCCGGAGAACTGACCGATCTGGTCGAGGATGAAGTGCAGCCACAGTCCGGTCTCGCCAACGGCGCACAGCTCCGCTTCCAGGTGTCGCGCAGCGTAGCTCTGCTGAAGACGGGCATCCTTGGAAGTCTTCGAGTTACGCGCGGCGATCACCATGACGACCGGCTGGCTATCCGGGTTCACCTCCGAGGTGCTCGCCAGGTGGTACAAGAAGACGTCCGGGAGCGTGATCTCGCGGATGCTGGCGCCGCGCAGGAGAGTGTGGTGGGAGAGTAGCGTGAGCACCTTGATGAGCAGGAATCGCCACAGCGTCTGCGACGGAGTGGTAGCCCGCGGGTTCCACGCCGTCGCCGCCCATGTCGGCAGCACCCTCATCATGATCTGGCGGAACTGCTCGGCGGTGTAGGTATCGCCGATGGTGCCGCGTCGACGGTCGGCGCAGTTCCTGAACGCAAATCGGCGGGGAAAATCTGTTAGACGGCGTCGACTTTATAGTGCACAGTGATATATAATAAGGTTGTCGACCAACTTACTTGATGTCCCTCTCGTTCTTGTGGCGGACGTTGAACCGCACCTCCGATCTCACCACCGAGATCTCCCTCATGATGCCCAGCTCCTTCTCTCGGTACAGCGTCGCCTCCACCCTCGCCGCCATCTGGCATGCCTTTATGCGGCCGAGGATCGTGTGCACAGTTGTCGACCTCACAGGCTCCGTTCGCGTGGCATTGTTCTCCTCCCCGGGCTGGTCAACAATGAGGTTACACTCACGGCTCATTTGCTTCACGTAGGCGCGCAGCCGGGCTTCGGTGACCTTAGGGCCGTGCAGCCAGATGTACTCTCGGCGGACCACTTTCTCGTTGCACCAATCCTTTTTCTTGTTGTCGCGGATGTAGTGGCCGATCTCGTCGACGTGCCGAAGTCGTTGCTCAAGGGGGAGCTTGTCGCGTATCTGCTTCAGCATCTTCGCCGCCCACTTCTTGTAGTGGTAGATGAACGCGGTGTACAGCCTGAGCGTGCTATTCTTCTTCGAGCATTGTAGGTGTCGTAGGGCGTCCATTATGAGCACGTCAATGCTGGAGTACACCATGTCGTCCACTACAAAGTTCGTCGCCTTCCACCCTTCGCGCGGCACCGCCATGTGCTGATTGTCCTCCTTCTCGTCCTCTTCAAGCATGTCACGTATGTATTCAAATTCCCGCCTAAGGCGTTCTTCCAAGGTGCGCGGATTGGTGCTACGCGGAGGACGGTCGTCGAATTCGTCGTCGCTCTCTTCCTCGTCCTCGTCGTCGTCATCACCTTGGTTTTCCGAGCCGGCCGGCACCGACGAAGGTCCAGGCTGCCCATCTGCCGTCGGTGTCGACTTCTTCGTAAACTCCCCGATTGGCGGATTCGGTATGTCCTTGGTGTACACCCCTTCGGGAATCTGAGTAAGTTTGTCAAGATCGTAGAGCAACTTCAGCGTCTCTACGGGGGCAGAGGACGGACTGTGGTCGGTTGGGGTACCAACGTCAGGCATGTCGACGTCGTCCATGACCGCTCGTATGCTCTACCGCCGGCCGTGGAAGAGGGAAAGATTGGTAAACCAGAGACGGAAGTGATTCACGTCGACGCCTTAGTGCCGACCTAAGTCTATTCCAGGTCGACGCCTGAGTGCCGCCGCTGGGTCGACTCGGCCGTCGAGTAACCTAGACCCGCAGAGACAGCGAGGGTCCTGTGAAGAAAGCGAAGTGCCAGATGGCGCACAGGAGCTTGAGAGGAACACGAAGCTGAACAGGCAGAATGAGAGCGTTGTGCGTGGTCCAAGAGGGGTATGGATGCGGGTCACTGCTCTCCTGCCGCGCTCCACGCAGCCCTCTTTGCACGCGCAGCAGTGCACGTGTATGACGTGTCACGATCGATGCATGTTTAGTGTCACGCCGCTTTGCGCCCAACGGCACTCCCGCCGGTGCCTTGCCACGGTGGAATTCACGTGCGCCACTTGCAATAGGCGCAATAGGCCAATCACCTAGTTCCACTCTCCCGAAATGCCGTAGCGTCCTGCTCTCCCGCGCAAACCTCATCGATTTGCGAGTAGGCGCGTGGCCGGAGGCCTGGTCGACGCCGACATTCCCTGAGTCTGGGGCTCTCTTCGCCTATGCGAAGGTGACATTTTTCGTGGACGATGGTGACATTTTTCGTCGGCGGGCCAAGTTTCGCGCGCAGCGCAAGATCCAGGTGCTGCGAAGCGGGGCCACGTCGGCGTCGTCGTGGCACCTCCCGATTGTCAGGCTCGATCTCGACCGTCCTTACTAGGCCACGTGGCCGTAATCGCGGCTCGGCGCACGACGTGTCGAGCTGTGGTTCAGGGTCCGCTGAGGTTTCCTTCTCAGGTTTCTCTCAGCGAATATCGAGGTCGTCAGTTCGTCGACAATCCCGAGGGGTTCAGGGCCCCGGAGGACTGCCAGGTCGCCCCAGTTTGCCACTCGCATGTCGTCACGAGGTCGACAATCCCGAGGGGGTTCGTTGTCCTATCGCAACCGCGAAATTGGGCGGCCGTTTTCGTCGGCTGAGGTATATCATCCCCTACTCACGAGCTAGAGTAGTGAAGTGAACCATGTTTTGTGTTTTTCTAGATCAAGTTGAGGACTAGATCATGTCTTGGGGCGAGGAGCATGTAGGTTTTTTTTCCGAACAAACCGAACCGCTCTGAAACTTACGATAACTTCAATCATCACAGCCTTTAGAAAATAGACCATTTTAAACCGTTGATGCAGTTTGGTTCGTTAGGGAAAAATCTCAGATGTTCCACGCCCTTACATTTACAATCATACTTCCTGGCTCAGGGCGGTTGTAGACGGTGGAAAACAATTTTCGAGGTTCTTCAGTTTGCACCGTTACGCAACGAATTTGACCGTAGAGGACGTGCAGCAAACATACGACCCCCAAGGCCCTCGCATGCATCTTTGCTTTTCTTGTTCCCTGATCCCACACTTCTTGAGGACATTTCTGTTGATACACATGCGGGCTTCATTCTGGCGATGGCATTTCACATAGCTGGTTGGAGATATGTCACTGGCTCCCTCTTTATCTTGTTCGGCGTCTTTGTTACTTCCATTTTGGCTCAGAAGATTGGTGAGCTGAGCATGCTTCGTTCTGTGGCTTGAAGTGGAGACGGCAACATTTATTTTTGCGAGTTTTTTTCAGATGGTCGAGTGAAAGGTCCAAGCGCACCTCGGTCTTGCCTTGGAGTTACAGTCAGCTATTCTATTCAGCAAGTAATATCTATTCCATCCGTCTGGAATGGAACTCTGCAACCTTACGGATTCAGAGCCACGTTGGTGCTTCAAAATTCTGGCTTAAGGTACCAACCGTCTTTTGTCATTGTGTTGACTGCTTTACTTGCCGAAGCTAATATGAATAAAACAGGGATGTGAAAGGGTGGGACGTTATCATTGAGTTTACCCACAACGAGCTAATCACAGCTATCAAGTACGCTCAAGTTGGACCTGAGCTTCCATACCCAGGTACGATCTGAGTGAGCCTTTCCGTCTTCTGCAGCACCTTTACATCGTCGCGTACATTCTTTGCAGGAAAGAACCTTATCATATCCGGCATTCCCGAGCTTAGCGATACTATTGTCACGGCGATTCATGCTGGGGGTGATTCTACTTTGTATTCTGTCAACGCTAGCATCTCTGGAACAGAGTATGGAGCGCCTTCTCCTCCAAAAGCTCTACCTCGAACTTTGTACCTTATCAATCCTGGTAAATATTATATCGAATGCTTCGTTAAAATAGTTGGGCTATAGCTTTTAATACTCACAGCCTGTAAGTGCAGGCTACAAGTGCCAGAGGGATTTTCCACAATTTCCATCTGATCGGAGTCTTCAGGTCTGTTGTGAAGAAAGTGCAGTCATCAGTCCACCGCCTCCACCCCCTCCACCTCAAGGAATATTAGGCGCTGAGGACATTGAAGTTCGTTATGACGTTTCATGGGTCGACACCATGTACTACTGGGTTCTCGTTTCAGTTTACAACAAGCAGCAAGATCGCCGGGTTTCCTCCCCAGGGTGGGGCCTATCGTGGATGTGGCAACAAAACGAGGTGATTCCGTCTTTTTGCATTTGCCGTCTATCCTTGATCGAATTATCATGGTTACTTAAAAGTACTCTTGTCGTTTTCGCCCTTCTACAACACTTCGTCCAGATTGTTTGGGAGGTTAAGGGAGCTCAAGCAACAGATGCGGGAAACTGCATCAAGTCTGCATTAGCTGATGTTTATGGGCCTGATATTCAGACAGCGCACACGTGTAGAAAGAAGCCGACGTTTGTGGATTTGCCACTACAGTCATACTCTCAAGAAAGCTATCCGGAACCAGCAGTTTTCAACCTGCAACTCTCATGTTGCAAGAATGGTACTTTGGGTATGCCATCTTTCCCAAGTGGAGATCCTGCCTTTTTCACTGTGAAGGTATACTTCCAGCTTTTTCCTGCCTCAGTGGTGAGAGCTTCCCTACCTGACCACGTCTTGGAATTGCAGGGTAATTCAAGTGTGGCTCAATTCAGAATGCGTGTAGGGCGGGCTAAGGCGAAAAAAGGGTATGAGAATGTGGTCCCACCAAGAAATATGTCAGTCGGTCTACCAGGGTTTACATGCGGTGGGGCAGAAAAACTCCAGCCTTCTGTGTTTCAGGTATTTAAAGAAGGGATTTCATTTTCTCTTTAAAGTGCAACTGTTCACGTTTCGTCACAGCTGGATGCAGGCCGAAACAAGACTGCAGTATCATCGTGGCGCTACGTCTGTAACAGAAATGCTAAGACTGAAAGGCCTGCTTGCTGTGTCTCGTTTTCTGCATCCTACAACACTACTAGGTTTGGAACGCCATATGTTGTACCATGTGCAAAATGCGCATGTGGGTGCAACATAACGAAAGGGTCGTTGAATCAAAGCGATCCCTACCCCACTATCTTGGGGGATGGAAAGTGCCTTCGAGGTAAGACTTTGTCATCCCTGTGTTACTTTTCCTGTTTTTTTTTACCAACTGAATATCCCTTCGTTTGTAGAACAAGTTGGGCGAGCAGGGGACTTGATGATTCTGAAGTCAATTACAAAAAGCACAGACACAGAGGCGATATCTTCCAAGTGCAGTGACAACTGTACATCTCATGTTCACTGGCACATTGTGGACTTCTACCAGGAAGGCTTCGTTGCAAAGGTCTGTTTAGTTGATTATTGCTTCGCCCTTGTTTTATGATTCCCTCAGATTCCACGATTTTAGCCCCGAGTCATAATGAAGTTGTGCCTGCTCTATGTTATTCTCTCCAGTTGACTATTGCTAACAGGGAGAATACAAGCATACCTGAATGGTTCGCTGTGGTGAGGATGCCAGCTCTTGACAACGTGTCAGCAGTGTATTCTTTTAACAACGCAACAATTTCCCGTGGGTGGCACTACTGTAGCATGACTTAATATTTTGCTTTCTTACGGTACCTTTCACTCACTAATTTCCCTTGGCTATTCATTGCAGGTGATACTGCTCTGTTTTGGGGGCATGAGTATAGCAACAATTGGTTATTGAGGACTGCTCCAAACGCAAAATTTCTGGGGAATGTTCAGTCTGTAATGAAGGTACAGTATGATGTTTGGATTGAAAGCTCGTGTCATGTTGTGTTATACTAGGAATTATTCGTGTGATTGTTTGGGCGCGCATTGTATTTTTTCTGTGCTTGCAGTTTGGCGCTGGCATGTTCTTCAATTACTCGTCTAAGGATGTCAGGAGTCTCTTTCCATCTGAGGTGGTCGTCAATGGCCAAGCATGTAGTGTACCAGACGTGGTGCCAACTTATCCTCCAGTCACGAAGAGCAAGCTTCTCATTTCATCCAAGTACCTTGCCCTTATTCTGGGGTTTGCTTTATGTGGGGTGCTTGCATATTCTGTGGCATTGTTTTAATACTTCGAAAACCTGTGATGATAATGTCATGTACAACACTGGTACAGTACCATAATTTACCTTACTGATTTACACGTGTCACTGCATTCAGATGGCACCAGTGGTACAGAACGTGCATTGTGCAGTAATCATAGGAATTTGCATTCATTAGGCCACAGTTTCCACAACTGTCTCCACATGTGCTGCTTCCCTAGCGATCTCGACATTCATGTCTTCCTTCAGTTTCTGCTCCTTCCTAACGCCCTTGCCACCAGTCTTGCCAAAACCTTTGCCTGCCTTTTTGGTTGCTTTACTCCAAGGTCCAAAACCCTTGACATTCGCAAGGGCTCCTTTGCCCAAGCCAACCTTTTCCAACTCCCTCTTCCTCCCATTTTTCTCCCTCCCGGCCTTCTCAACGACATTCGCCATCATCTCTTCCTGCTTCTGCATTGTTTCTCCTCCGCTCCCACTTGCACTTGAAGCTGTAGCATCTCCCACAACAATATCTGCTGAAGGATTTTCAGATACCTCTAGACCCTGTTGATTGGGTTCCGGCTTTCTGACTACCTTGCCTTCTGTCGGGGCTGTTGTTACTATAGCTTCTTTCCTTCCTTCATGCGAGGGAGTCTCTTGGGTGGTTGGTGTCGTAACTGCGTCCCCAGCATCTGGTTCAGTCTTCATTCCTTTACTTGCAACTTCATCCTTCTGTCCTCCCAGTCTTTCACGAACCTCCGCCTTTCCTGGTCCTCCGTACTTTTCTACTGCACCAACGTCCAACCTCTGTGCTTGCACTGTCTTCTCAGTGCGTTTCCTATCCTTCTGATCAATGCTGGTATCGAGCCGCTTCTTCTCCATTCCTGTCTCATCTTCTCTTTCAACCGAGAACTTCCCCACACTCACCACCATCTCAATCTCAGCTTGCTTGTTTCCCTCTTCTGCAACCACTTTCATGGGTTCCAATACCTCTCCCCTCCCCTTCTGTTCAACAGCCTCAACTTCTCCTCCAGCCTCCACCTCCCTCTTAACAACCACAGGTTTCCCTTTGCTCTTCTCACCCCGCACATCCTTCTCCTCATCCCTCTCGTCTTTCTTCTCAGAGGCCTTCCTCCTGTACTTTCCCTTCCCACTCACTCTCTGCTTCACACCACCTCCGTCTCCTCCTTCCCCTTTACCGCTCCCACCCTCCAAAACCACCTCTTTAGACGCTTCCGCCACAGCTGTACTCGTTACAGCAGCACTCGTTTTAGCACCGGCGCTCTCTAGAGGCGCCAGTCGTAATGCAGCAAATACCTGATCAGACGGAATGAGCCCAAGCCCCCTTAGGTCAGCCATAATCGAGCAGAGGGAGGGGAAATCTCCAGCTAGAGCCCTGTTCTTGATGACTGGAACAAACATGGCCACTGTTGGCTGAAAGTTGGGGATGCTCCGGAGAGACTGCACGTGCCTCAGGGGAAACGGGTGGAGAGGGAGAAGTGGAAATTGGAGGGCAGCAGAGGGGGAAAGTGAAACAGGGGGAGGGAAGGATGATATGATGTGATATGAGCTTGCAAAGAGCATGCATGCAAATTGGTAGCAATAGGAGGGAAGAGGGTAATGCCATGAGAGTGAGCACCAGCGATGCATGATGAATGTCTGGAGTGGAGGAATGCTATTGTGTTTCTGTCCAATGTGGCAAGGCAAGATGCAATTACATGCTACCAATGCTTGTATTTCTGCATCACTACAACGTGTATGTCGCACTTAATGATAGGCGAGAGAGAGAAACGAATGGAAAGAAATCCAGAGTGCAGAGTGAGGGGAGGAGAGATGGAAGAGGGAGAGAGGGAGCGGGGCAGAGAGGGAAAGGGGAAGAGGAAACAGAGTGAATATGAATGTGGAGGAGAGCGTGAGAGGACGAAGATCCGCACCTTCCACAGAGTCATAACAGCAGCAGGCCCACCACCACCAACCGCCACTCCTCCCACAGCCCCTTTTTCACTCTCCTCCCCTCCCACCAAACCTGCAGCTTCCAGCTCTGCAACCACCTGCTTCTCCCCCACCGTAAAACCCTTCTGAAGCATCAGGAGCAAGGACTCCTCCCGGGTCTGCTCAGTAGCTTCTGTGCTAGAGAGCACACCTCCCACCTCTGCAGCTGTCGCCTTTTCTGTCAACTCTGCACGTTTTGCCATTTTCTCTGGTGCTGTTGCCTTTTCAGTCACCTTGACATCTGCTGCCTTTTCAGTCACCTTTACAGCTACTGCTTTTTCAGTCACCTTAACAGCTGCTGCCTTTTCAGTCACCTTAACAGCTGCTTTTTCAGTCACCTTTACAGCTGCTTTTTCAGTCACCTTTACAGCTGCTGCTTTTCCAGTCACCTTTACAGCTGTTGCCTTTTCAGACACCTTTACAGCTGCTGCCTTTTCAGTCACCTTTACAGCTGCTGCCGTTTCAGTCACCTTAACAGCTGCTGCCGTTTCAGCCACCTTAACAGCTGCTGCCGTTTCAGCCACCTTCACAGCTGCTGCCTTTCCAGTCACCTCCGCGGCTGTGGCATGCGATGCGGTCACTGTTGCCTCCCCTGCACCTGTAATAACAGGCGCATCCAGTTCCTTCTCTACCTCCACCACTGCAGCTCCTGCAACAGCTACTGCACTCTCCTCTGCTGCAACTGTACTCTTCGCACCAGCAACAGTGCTCTCCTCTGCACCTGCTACTGCTGCGCTCTCGACTTGCGTCACTGGAGCTGCAGCCTTTCCATTCTCTACAGTCTTAATACTCTCCTCTGCTACCTTTCCACCTGCAGCATTCTCAGCTGCCTCCACCACACTCACTGCTCCCTCTTTCCCTTCCCCCTTTTCCACTCCTCCCTCCCCTCCCTCCCCTCCCTCTTCTCTCTCCTTTCCCGTGCCCCTCTCCCCCTCTTCCGCCTGCACCAGTCGTGCGCGCAGCAGCAGCTGCCGGCACGCATTAGAGGGCTCCACGCCTCGCTTCACCGCCACTTGCAACACCGCCTCCGCTGCTGCTGCAGCTGCAGCAGAACCAGCAGCAGGGGGGTCAGCAGCACCAGCAGCAGCAGAGTCAGCAGAACCAGCAGCAGCAGCAGGCGCGGCATTGCTTCCATCCAAACCCACGCCCTCTCCCTTCCCCTCCGCCTCTCCCCCTTCCGCCACCCCCCCTTCCCCCTCCCCCCCTAAATACCCCGCCATGATCCCCTCAATCACCTCCACAGGCGGCTGGAAGGCTGGGTGCTCCGCCAGCAGATCACAGAGGGCGGAGTGCGCCCATGCGGGGTGGGAGGCGGAGAGATACGCGGAGATGAGCGCCAGGTGCAGGGAAGGGTCGGGAGTTAGCTGTAACTCTCGCATGTACTCGAGGACTCCCTCCGCTAGCCCGAACTCGCCCAAACGGGTGTAGCTGCGAGGAGGGGAGGGAAGAAGAGAGGGAAGGGTCGGGTGTGAGCTGTCTGTAGCTCTCGCATGTACTCACTTGTAGAGGAGGGGAGGAGGGGAGGAGGGGAGGAGGGGAGGAGGGGAGGAGGGGAGGAGGGGAGGGAAGAGGAGAGGAGAGGAGGTCGGGCGTGAGCTGCAGCTCTCACTTGTACTCCGCTCGCCCTCTGCTAGCCCGAACTCGCCCAGTCGGGTGTAGCTGATGGGAGGGGAAGGCAGGAGAGGGGGAAATGGGGGAAGGGAGAGAGGGAGGAAAAGGGGGATGCGGGGAGAGGGGTCAGGTCAGATAGAAGCTGCAGTTCTCCCATCTTATGTGTTCAGACTCGCTCTGCTCTGCCATTCTGTTTTTGAGGTGCCTAAAAATCCGAGACGGTCGATCGGGGTAGGAGGACAAAAGCTGCAGGCGGCGGGCAGCAGCTCTCCTCCCATCCCAGTAGAGCTGCTGTTCAACACAGTACAGTTCAATCCCTTTGAGGCTGCAAGCAGCACGCCGCCTTATGAGGCACCGCAAAAGTTGCTCAAGCACGCCTTCTGCTCTGCAAGCGGCAAGCCGGCAAGCCACGTCGAATCTGTGCTCCTCATACTCACCCATTTCCCCCCTCCCCTTTTCTCCAACCCACCCATCCAGCAGCACAAGGAAGCAGCCAGCGGAGGGGCGCACGCCCCCCTGCAGCTTGTCCTGCACTGCACTGCACTGCACTGCACTGCACTGCACTGCACTGCACTGCACTGCACCACCACACCACGCGCTCCGCCACCTTGCGCATCTCATGCTCTCTATACCGCCTTCCACGCTCACCCACCGCTCTCCCTTTCAAACGTTCCCACACTCGCATGTTCCCTCAGTGATCCCCTTTTCCCCTCACAGTCCCCGCCCTAACCCCCCAAACCCTCGCCCCTCCACGGTCCACCCACCCGTCCAGCAGCGCGAGGAAGCATCCAGTGGACGGCCGCACGCCTCCCTGAAGCATGTCCTGCACCACTCCCTCCGGCCCTCTTCCCCACCCCAGGTTCCCAGTCTCCCCAATTTTCCACCAACAACCCACCCGTCCAGCAGCGCGAGGAAGCAGCCGGTGGACGGCCGCACCCCTCCCTGCAGCATGTCCTGCACCACTCCCTCCGCCTCGTGCATCTGCCCGTTGCTCGCTGCAATAACTGACTCCCACGCTCACCCAGCGCACCTTACCTCCCCAACCCCTTTCCTTACCTCCCCACCCCACCCCTCTTCCTCCTCCCCGATTCCCCCAATTCACCCCACCTCACTCGCTCTCTCTCTCCCCCACTCCCTCTCCCCGCCAACAACCCACCCGTCCAGCAGCGCGAGGAAGCATCCAGTGGAGGGCCGCACCCCTCCCTGCAGCATGTCCTGCACCACTCCCTCCGCCTCGCGCATCTGCCCGTTGCTCGCGTACGCCCTCAGCAGCCCCACGTACACGCGCCTGTCCTCGACGCGCCCCTGCTGCTGCTGCAGCGCCTGCGGGGGAAGGGGGGATGGAGTGATGACGACAAGAGAAGACAAAGAGGCCCATTTTTCTGCGGGCGGATCTCCATTCCTCTCTCCATTCCTCTCTCCATTCCCCACACCCCCTATTCCTTACACGTCGTCTTCCCTCCCTCCCCCGCTAGTATCCCAACCCTCCGTCCGCTACCCTTTCCCACCATGTCTCTCTCCCCCAGCCCCCTGCATCCCCCTCATTCCCCCTCATCTCCCCAGTCCCCTCCATTCTCTGCATTCCCCGCCTCCCCCCTCCACTCCCCCCTCACCTGGAACGCTCCCTCCTCTCCCCTTCCCCCACGGCGCCCCCCTCTCACCTGGAACACCCCCTCCGCGCGCTGCGCGGCATGGCCAGGGCGCCATACGCGTTAATGCACGGCACCGCCAGGGATGCGAGCACCTCTCACAATCCCCAACCCCTCTTACCTTCCACGTCCTCTCCTCTCCTCCCTTCCTTATCCCACCCAGACAGCCTCCCGTTCCCCACCCTTCCCAACCTAACATTGCTCTCCTCAATCCCCCACTACGTTCCCCCCATCCCCCCCATTCTCCACAATCCCCCCCATTCTCTGCATTCCCCCCCGCTCCCTCCCACATGCTCCCCTCGTCCCCTCACCTGGAAAACGCCCTCCGCGTGCTGCGGCATGCCCAGGGCGCTGTACGCGTTAATGCACGCCACCGCCAGGGATGCGGGGAGCTTCACGCCCTCCTGGCACAGAGAGCGGTGCAGAGCGGTGATGACTGCGTGCTCGCCCCCCCGCGCCAGCACTGGCACTGCGCGCTCCAGCAGCTTCGCGTCCACGGGGATGCGCAGGGCCTGGGGGGAGGGGGAGGGGGGGGGAAGGGGGAATGGGGAAGGGGGAGCGGGTGGGTTTTGGGTTGTAAGAAGGATGGGTTGCTTGTTGACATGCGCGCCCCAGCAGCTTGGCGTCCACGGGGATGCGCAGGGCCTGGGGGGAGGGGGAGGGGGGGGAAAGGGGGAATGGGGAAGGGGGAGCGGGTGGGTTTTGGGTTGTAAGAAGGATGGGTTGCTTGTTGACATGCGCGCCCCAGCAGCTTGGCGTCCACGGGGATGCGCAGGGCCTGGGGGGGAGGGTGGGTGGGGGGGAAGGGGGAACGGGTAAGAGGAAGGAGGGGAAAGGGGGGAGGCGCGCAGAAGCGGGGAACAGAACAGGTGTGGCGGAAGAGGGCGGAAGTGGGAGGCGAGAAAAAGCGGAGGAAAGGGGATACAGAGTGGGTGAAATATGGGGGGGGTGATGTGAGGTGGGAAAACCGAGGACGTGAATGGTGGTGGGTTTGTGATTCACATCATCACTAGACTCGGTTTCTTCAAGCGACACCATCATCACTCATGCATGGAGATGGTTCAGCCGAGACTCGAGATGGTTCAGCTCCACTCCACCATTTCGTCCCCGCCGCACAATCCCCCCCCCCCCGACACGCACAACCCCGCCCTCTCCCCTCCCCTCCCTCCCCCCCCGCGCCCTTCCTTCCCGGTAGCTCTCTCGCTCTCTCGCTCTCTCGCTCTCTCGCTCACTCGCTCACTCGCTCACTCGCTCTCTCGCTCACTCGCTCACTCGCTCTCTCGCTCTCTCGCTCACTCGCTCTCTCGCTCACTCGCTCACTCGCTCTCTCGCTCTCTCGCTCACTCGCTCTCTCGCTCTCTCGCTCTCTCGCTCACTCGCTCTCTCGCTCTCTCGCTCTCTTGCTCACTCGTTCTCTCCCTCGTTCGCTCGCTCGCCCGCGCACCAGCATGCCGTCCAGCACGGCGCGCAGCGGGATGGGCTGCTTGGCGGCGGCGAGCATCATCTCCGTTTCGTTTCCACGCACATCACGAGCGTTCCGCTCGAGCACACCCAATCCCCCCCCTCCCCCCCGTCTCTCCCCCATTCCTCCCCGCTCGCCCGCTCACCAGCATGTCGTCCAGCACGGCGCGCAGCGGGATGGGCTGTTTCGCGGCGGCGAGCATCATCGCCATCTCGACGCACGTCACGCGGTCCGGCTCCACCATCTCGTCCTCGCGGACGCGCTCGTACACGCCAATCGCCGCGCGCCACCGCCCCGCACGCGCGTACCCGCCGATGAGCGCGTTGTACGTGAACAGGTCCGGGAACACTCCGCGCGCCTCCATTCCGCGCGCCACCGCCTCCATCTGCTCCACGTTGCCTGGGGGCGGAACGCGCGTGTTGGCGCGTGTGGGCAGGGGCGTGTGAGAGCGTGTCAAATTCATCGGGTTACAGGCGTAACAGAGGTTGGTGGCGGGCGGCGTGTGTCGGAGCGATAACAGTAGTTCGTCTCGCGGTTCAGAGAGGTAACATAACGGGGATGTCGTTTCGTTTCACTCACACATTCGGGAGCTTGCGTTACCATCACATCAATAGCTTCAACTTCATCATGACCGCTATCCGACGAGAAAAGAAAACAAGTACAAGAATTCGCCGGAGCGCCATCCTTTCGTGCCCGCGAATGCTCACCTGCTTTCCCGTACGCAGCCAGGACCGTCGTGCACGCGCGAACACCCGCCTCGAGCTCCTTGCTCGTGCCCTCCACGTGCTGCAGCCACGCGAACACCGCGCCCAGCAGGTCGTGCTCGCCGCGCTGCGCGCCGAGCTCTTTCAGTACGAGGATGACGTCAGACTGCACCCACTCGCGCTCTGATTGGTCCAGAATTGGCCACACCACGGACTCGAGCGTCTCAGGAGGAGTGCTGGCCGCATCCGTTGCGCCGTCAGCGGCGGGAGAACCGGCGGGAGAAGCGGCGGCGGAAGCGGCAGCATCAGTAGCGTCAGCGACAGCGACGGCGGCCGCAGCAGCAACGGGCTCGTCGACGGAAGCGGCTTGGGTGCCCTGGTCTGCGACTCCCTCTTTGCTCTTGCGCGAGATCTTCGCCTTCTTCTTCTTCGCCTGCGACGCTCTGCGACGTCGCTCCTCCATCCATTGCTGCTTCGCCTCTCGCAGCGCCGCCAGACACGACGACACCCGCGTCAGCGTCGCCAGAGGTGAGTCGTTACCGTTCCCGTTACTGTAACCGCCGCCGCGGCCTCTTGCGAAGCTCCCGGAGTTTGCGCCGCTTTCGCCGCCGCGTCGTCCACGCGAGTTGAACCTACTGGGCGCTCCGCCTACTCCGCCGCCACCGCCACCGCTGTCGCCGTCGTTTCGAGACTGCCCCGCGCTCCGTCTATATTGCTCGGCGCCCGATTCGCCTCCTCGGGTCTGCTGGTTTTGGCGACTCCACGGCTGCTGCTGCTGCTGCTGCTCGGGGAGAGTGGCAGCGGAAGCGGCGTCGGCGGCGGCACTTGCGCGGGTCGATAGGAGCACCTGCGGAACGGGGAGTCCCCCACCCGCGCATGGGAGTAACGCCGTCGAAGGGTGTCGAGAAGAGAATTTGGACAAAGCGGCGCGACTTGAGAGGTCGTCGCGGCTCGAGCCTTCATTGCGAGGACGAGAAAGGTTCTTGCGAAAAGCGCACAACGCCGAAACGCGGTCAGGGCGGGAGGTCCATGGCTGGCCGAGGAAAGCGACGGATGCGGTGACGTCAGAGGAAGAGCAATGGAGGGATGATGAGGAATGAAGGGAAGGGGATGGCGACGCGGCAGAAGTAATGCAAGCCGCAGAGACGGAATGAAGCGCCATTAGCGATTGCAAGGGAAAACTGAGAGTACGACTTTGACTCGGAGAGGTAAGCGGATGCTTCTTAAATTCTCGAGCGTTAGCGACAAACGTGACACACGGAGCGGAGGAATATGGCCGTGTCAAGCGTAGGAAGCGGAAGGCATTCAAGTAATATTGAATGCGGAACTCAAGTGCTACGAAGTGGAGCACAAAAAGGCAAGCAGAGGGAGCCCAAGCGGAGGAAATGACAGCGCGTGAATGTGCATGCTTTTGTCAAGGCGGTTGCGGTTCGCGAACAGCAGCGACTGCCTGTTCTTTCATAAAACAATCATCTGGTTTGTGGGCGACGCAAGAACGATTCGAGTAGCAAAATCAGTGCTCGCAAATCAGAGCGAATTCACGAGGCCCAGCGACTGCACACGGTTTCGCGATTAGCAGTGTTCGTGAGTTCCCAAGAGCAGAGGTCTGTCCAGGTGAACCACTCATGCCCGCTGAGTTATCTGTAGAAATTGACGTGGCAAGCAGAGATGGAGGTGACCTCACCACTGATTGGTTTTCATTGGCGTGTCACGCGCCAAGTGTAGTCTGTTCCAAGGAAATGGATAGAGTGACAGCACTCGCGGAAACCGTTATTGCATCAATGCAGTAGCATTCTCATGAATCATTCCTCCACGTTCATTATCGGTCATAAAAAATGTCTATGGTTTGTAGTCGTCCTTCTATGAAGTTATTATGTATGGAAACTGGTTTATTTAAATGATATGTATTAAATAAAATATATTTTGAAAATAATATGACGTGAGATATATGTTTGAATAACTGCGGTTTAAACACTGTTTCTATAAGCACGTAATTTTGTTACAAAATAAAGTGTACTTGCGCAGCCTACCACATTCATCCTCCGATATCTTCGATATCGGGGCTTCGTCGACGCGACGCGCCCCTGCAAATATGCCTGCGACAGCCAGCCTTGGTTCGGACGAGACTTGTCGCCAAAAGCATCGTAGGCACCACGCTCGCGAGCTTAACGAACCGCTTGCGATTCAGTTACAAAACAGGCGAGATTGGCGATATGCCTGAAGGGAGGCGACGTATTGAGGGCGGCGGCGCGCCGGGCACAAAACCTCTCAGTCAGATCCACAGGGAGCGGAAAGAAGAGGGGCAGTGTACAGCACTGTGCTGTGCTTCATTCTGCCGATCCGAGCCGAGCCGAGTAACAAGGGAAAGAAGAAGCAGGGGAGAGTTCTGGGGAGGGTGGAAGGCGCAAGAAGTTGAGCAACTAAGCCTGGGGTTAGGGACGATGCGAGGGGCTTAGAAAAAGGTGTGTATGGAGCGATGAAATCGGGACGAGGTAGGGAGGAGGGTGTTGTTGACCTAATAGCGAGCGACTGAGCGATTGTTCAAACGAAATCAGCTTTGGCGACCTAGGCTTGGCGGAAGCTAGTAATCTGGTCAGGTGTTGGTGAGCCGTATCTAGTATGCCCGCGGCAACATGCTCGATCCAGAACCGCTCTAGTCGTCGCCTCTCCTAGCGTGACTTCCTAATTACGGCTGCTGGTGAACCCAACACCGAGAATCACGGGGCGCGTGAGGTGCACGCTGAGTAAAGAGCCAGTTGTGCGGTTCACGCGCGTGCAGTTAGGGTGGAGTGGTATGACGCGCAGATTTTGTGACGTGAGTCGTTAGTTGTAGTTGTGACACGCGAAAGCCCATTCAATGGGTGCGCTAGCACGCTGACTGGAGCCTCGCGGTAGACTGGAGCTGCTGACGACGAGCGTGCTGCGTGCTTTGAGAACTCTCAAAAGCGACTCCGACATAGCGTGCTTTTAGTCGACGCGAAAGCTAAGAGGCGGTTCATCGTGCATGGCGTAGGAAGCGCGCCGACTCCCTGAGCATCGTGCCGTTGCTAGCTGACCCTACGAGTTTGACGATTCCAAGTTGTTCTGCTCTTTGTAAGGCGACGTCGACGGCGCGCGTATCTCGCATGGTTCGAGTCTCGGGCGGCAAATCAACGAATTAAGACGACGAGTCTTGTCCTCCGCGTCTCGGCGCGTTAAATTATTCTCAGGCTGGCTTTCATGCCCTGCCCTGCGAGGTGCTCGGCGTTTGCGAGCGCGCGTTAAAATATACCCGCGGTGTGAGCTTGCTTAAGGCGTCGCGATCCGAATCGGCGTTGACGTGTAGTCGAGGTTTCGGGTCTGTTGATTAGCTGATTAGCAGTCGACGTGCGCGCGGGTTTTAGACCAGAAGATCTTCAGCACTTAAGAATAGAAATTTGCCAGCTTTGATTAGGGCACAGCTTCAATCATAAGCATAATAATTGCGGTCGAGGCAGTCACAGCGGTAGCCACGTCCACTGCTGTGCGACGACTCCCTCTTCCTATTCGACGTCGCACGTCGCGAGTGTGACGACCACCGACCACTTTCAGTCGCAACGAAATGGACGGCAGCGGGCGGTACAGGAGAGCGCAGGGGGGCGGCGGCAACCAGCAAGGGATGAAGGGCGGAGGGGGATTACCGCTTCTGGGACTCGTTGGCGCCGTTGGATCTGGCATGGCGGTACGTGAGCCGTCAATGGGTTTCGCAGCAATCGTTTGATCCCTCTCTGCGCGCTTTGCACCCACTGACGCCGTTAATTATCATCCCCGCTGCTTTTCTTCCCCCGTTGATTTCCTTCCACCCTTCCATGCCCTTCGCTCTCCTCCGTTTCATCTTTTGAGTCGACTCGATAATCACCCCCCATTCCTCATGCCCTTCGCTTTCCTCCGTTTCCTCCATCTTGCCGCCGCGTCGTCGTGCTTCCCCTCTCCCGTCCGCCATTTCCCCGCGCGTGCGCGGCGCACCAGGCGCTGTTCCTGCAGCTGAGGGGCGCGGAGCGGAAGAGGGGCCACGTGGAGGAGACGGTCCTGCTGCTGCAGCAGCAGATGGCGCAGCAGCGACTCTTGCTGGTGAGGCCCGTGGGGCCTGGAGAGGAGAGTAGCGAGTGGGGAGCGAGGCGAGTGGGGGACTAGCGGCTCGTATGTATCTTGATTGGGATATTTTCCAGGTGTATACAAACAATGTATTTTTGAGACGTCTCAAAAATGCATTGTATACTCGTATGTATCTTGAGTAGGATATTTTCCAGTTTTTGCGAGTCATGAAAATGTGTTTGATCATTGGTGATCCAGCGGGTTTTCCGCAGTGGATACGCGTTGTGTTATTATCCATGCCTGCCTGCCTGCCTGCTGTCTGTCTGTCCGTCTGTCCGTCCCTCTCTCTCTCTCTCTCTCTCTCTCTCTCTCTCTCTCTCTCTCTCTCTCTCTCTCTCTCTCTCTCTCTCTCTCTCTCTCTCTCTCTGTCGGTTTGTCTGCCCACAGGAGCAAGAGCAGCAAGCTAAAGAGAGACTTCTCCTGCAGCAGCAGCAACTGCAGGAGCAGCAGGAACAGCAGCAGCAGAAGGGGCGGCGGCATCACCACCACCACCACCACAGGCACCGGAGGCACAGGCACGACGACGACGAGACAGAAGAATCTTCGAATGGCAGTGGCGATTCAGAGGACGACGATGATGATGATGAGGAAGACTCTGAAGAGGAGGAGGATGAGGATGATGATGAGGAGGAGGAGGAAGGACGGCACATGTCACGGAGTGAGCTGAGTGCGGTGGTGAGATCTCTCAAAGAACAGGTGGCCGGGATGGACGCTCTGGTGGGGGAGGTGCGTGCGCTGAGAGAGAAAGCGGAGAGAGCGGAGAAGGCGGAGGCGGAAGGGCACGGGGCGGGGAAGACCAAGGAGCAGGAGCTGCAGAGACAGAGACAGGAGCAGGAGCAGCGGGAGCAGTGGGAGCAGGAGCGGAAGCGGCAGGAGGAGGAGATGCGGGTGTTGAAAGAGGTGGTGGGGGAGTTGCAGAGGGACGTGCAGGGGGTGCGGGAGCAGGGCGAGCAGCGCAACTCCTCGCTCATGCTGCTGCTCGAGGCGGAGGAGGTGGGTCTGGCTGTGTGCCGCCTCACTCTTTCTGTGTGCCTTAAATTTACCCTTTCCCCTCGCTCTTTGGTGCCCCTCGCTCTTTGGTGCCCCTTGCTCTTTGGTGCCCCTTGCTTTTTCGCACGCCCGCCTTCCTCTTGTTCCTCCCTTCTTTGACCCTGTCATGTTCTTCTTGCACCCTATCCGCCTTGCCTATTACTTTGCCCTCCCATCCCCCCCCATTCTCCCCCTCCCCCTCCCTGCCCTTCTCCTCACTCCCCCCACCTTGTCTCGCTCCCTCACAATGGTCCACGGAAGCTGTTTTTCTCCTCTCTCCTCCCCCGCATCTTCCGCTCCTCCCCTTCCCCTCTCCCCCTCGTCCAACTATCCTTTCCTCTCCCGTGTGCAGAAGTATTCCAAGGCAGCAGCCAATGCGGCATCAGCAGCAGCATCTTTGGACGAGGCCCGCTCGCACATCCTCTTTTGAGGCGCCTCAAAAATTGCGGGTAGAGAGACGACTTTTGAGGCGCCTCAAAAATTGCGGGTAGAGAGACGACTTTTGAGGCGCCTCAAAAATTGCGGGTAGAGAGACGACTTTTGAGGCGCCTCAAAAATTGCGGGTAGAGAGACGACTTTTGAGGCGCCTCAAAAATTGCGGGTAGAGAGACGACTTTTGAGGCGCCTCAAAAATTGCGGGTAGAGAGACGACTTTTGAGGCGCCTCAAAAATTGCGGGTAGAGAGACGACTTTTGAGGCGCCTCAAAAGTTGGACGAGGCCCGCTCGCACATCCTCCTACCTTCTCCTACCTCCTCTCTCCCGTTCCCTCCCCTCCCATCCACCCCCACACCTGCAGAAGTATTCCAAGGCGGCAGCCAAGGCGGCGTCAGCAGCGGCGTCGCTGGACGAGGCGCGCTCGCACATCGCAGACCTGGAGGACCGGGTAACGCTGCTGCAGCAGCAGGAGCAGCAGCACGGCCAGCAGCAGCAGTACATGCAGCACCACGATCATTCAGGCGGCACACACGGGCTGGCAGAAGCTGTTAAGGTGTGTTCCTGTGCTGTGCGCCTGTGCCTGCGGTTGCAGGCGGTTCTGGAGATTATTGAAGTGGTGAAGAGAATGGGGGAGAAGGGGTAGGGTGGGGATGGACGGTGGGGGAGGGAAAGTGCTCGTCTGTCTTCCTTCATTCTTTCCTTCCCTGCCTCCTTCACCCCCTTCTTCCGGTTACCACCACCAACAGGCGCTGCAGGCGCAGGTGGAGATGCTGGCCTGGAGGTGGTGCAGGGCGAGGCGGAGCAGCCACGTGTAGAGAGGGTATTTTTGAGACGTCTCAAAAAGATGCTGGCCTGGAGGTGGTGCAGGGCGAGGCGGAGCAGCCGCAGCAAAAGTAGGCTTGCAAGTTTTTCACCTCATCCTTTCCTTCCTGCCTTCCCCCCTGTGGCTCCTTTCTTTCCCTGGGGGACTACCTACCAACAGGCCCTACAGGCGCAGGTGGAGATGCTGGAGGTGGTGCAAGGAAAAGCGGAGCAGAGGCAGCAATAGTAGGCTTGCAAGTCCGTCACCTCATCCTTTCCTCCCTGCCTTCCCCCCTGTGGCTCCTTTCTTTCCCTGGGGGACTACCTATCAACAGGCCCTGCAGGCGCAGGTGGAGATGCTGGAGGTGGTGCAAGGGGAGGCGGAGCAGAGGCAGCAGCAGCGCATGCAGCAGGTGCAGGGGGACCAGCAGCAGCGCTGGCAGCAGCAGCTGCAGCAGCAGGGCGAGGTGCTGCGCGCGTTTGTGGAGAGGCGCTGCAACGAGGCCGTGGTGGCTGCAGGCGACACTGCAGCGGTACGTGTGGTATAGATTGGAGGGAAGGGAGGGCGTTTTTTCCAAAGGGGCCTCATTAGTCGAGGTAGGTGGCAGTGCAGAGGTACGTTTATGATAGGTGCTAATTGCCAATCTTTGAGTCGAGACGGAAAGCTACTGCGTACGTTTGTGGAGAGGCCGTGCAACGAATTAGTGATAGCTTCGGCTCAACCCCTCACTCACTGTTCCTCTCTTCCCCTTGCCTGACGTCGCCCCCCTCCCCTCCCCTCCCATTCACTCCCCTCCACTCCTCCTCGTCCCTCTGCCCCTTTGTTTTCCTCTCTGAGCAGAGGCACTCGGGCACGGCACCACTGGTGGCAGCGCAACAGGACATGCAGACAGCACTGGAGCTGCTTGCAACAACCAACCAGCATGGCTTATTCCCTCTCACCCTTTGGTCTTCCTTTTCCTCTTCCTCCCTAATTCCCCCCCCCCCCCCCTTCATCCCCACCACCCCGCCCTGAACAGAGGCACTCGGGCACGGCACAGCTGGTGGAAGCACAGCCGGAGATGCAGACAGACAGCACTAGAGCACCCTCTCCCTCCCTCAACCCTTTCGTCCCTTTTGCGTCATCCCTCTCGTCCCTTTCCCCCTCGTTCCCTCTTCAGAGGCACTCGGGCACGGCAATGCTGGTAGAAGCACAGCAGGAGATGCAGGCAGCACTGCAGCTGCTCTCAGGGCGCATGGAGGGGGTAGAAGAGGAGAGGGCGCGGGAGAGGGAGCGGGATGGCGAGAGGGAACAGGAGAGGGAGCGGGAGAAGGAGAAGGTGAGGGAGAATGAGCGGCGGAAGGAGGAGGAGAGGCATCAGCAGTTGGCAATCCTGGCTGCAGACCTCAAGGTATGGCTTTTGAGACGTCTCAAAGTTCGGCTGGCAACTCTGGCTGCAGACCTCAAGGTACGGCTGGCTGGCTGGCTGTTCCGAATCGTGGTTCGTTTATGGATAGATGGATCGTGGTTCTCGGCTCAAGAATCAAGAATAGATGGATGGATGGATGGATGGATGGATGGATGGATGGATGGATGGATGGATGGATGGATGGATGGATGGATGGATGGATGGATGGATGGATGGATGGATGGATGGATGGATGGATGGATGGATGGATGGATGGATGGATGGATGGATGGATGGACGGATGGATGGATCCATCCTCCTCCTCCTCCTCCTCCTCCTCCTCCTCCTCCTTCCCTCTTTAGCTACTCATAGATTCCCCTACATTATGGAGATTCCTCATGTGCAATGTAGGGAGACCCCCCTACATTGCCTCTGGAGTGCTTTCCGCTTTTGTTTGTTTCCTCTTGGGGTTTCCTCCTTCCAGTATCTCAGCCGTTCCTGCTCATCGTCTTTGCTCCCTGCTCTGTCCCCCGTTCTCTCCTCCATACGCCTGCTCTTATATCCCACCATCAGAGCCTGCAGGTGCAGATGGATTGCTTGGAACTGCAGCTGCACGAGCAGCAGCAGCAGCAGTAGCAGCAGCAGCACATTTTCCTTACCTACCCGTCTTCTCTCCCCGTCTCTCCGTTTCCCCGCCATTCCTGCCTGCCCACCATCAGAGCCTGCAGGTGCAGATGGATTGCTTGGAACTGCAGCTGCACGAGCAGCAGCAGCAGCAGCAGCAGCACAAGCAGCAGCACGAGCAGCAGCCCGAGCAGCAGCAGCAGCAGTAGCAGCAGCAGCACATTTTCCTTACCTACCCGTCTTCTCTCCCCGTCTCTCCGTATCTCTCCGTTTCCCCGCCATTCCTGCCTGCCCACCATCAGAGCCTGCAGGTGCAAATGGATTGCTTGGAACTGCAGCAGCACGAGCAGCAGCAGCAGCAGCACGTGGAACACTCGTTGCAGCAACACCTGCAGCAGCTGCAGCAGCAGCAGCAGGCGGCGCAGCAGCAGCTGGAGCAGCAGCAGGAGCAACTGGAGCAGCAGCGGGCGCAGTGGGAGCGGCAGCAGCAGCAGCAGATGGAAGATATGAGGGGGTTGTTGGAGGCAAGGCATGAGGACGCTTTAGCTGCAGTTGCGGCTGCTGTTGAGGTGAGAAGCTTGTTCAAGGCACTTGTGTTGAAGTGACTCAAATGTCTCAAATAGAGACAAAGGAATTGCTGGCGCAGGCTGAGGCGGAAGCAGCGGGGTTCTGAGGGAGAAGAATAGTTTCCTAATTCCATCTTTCCCCTCCCCTCCCCCGCTTCCCCACTCCCTCTCCCTCTTCCTTTCCCCATTCCTTCCCCCTTCCCCTTCCCCTTCCCCTATCCCCTTCCCCAGCCGGTGCAGGAGCAGCTGAAGAGCTGCCTCGCATCCCAGCAGCACGTGGCTTTGCTCGCAGCAACTGCAGCAGCGTCTGCAGAGAAGGCAATGGCAGTGGAGCGAGCAGCAGCGTCCGTGGCGGTAGAATCTGCAGTGGAGACGGCACACCTGGCGCAGGCAGAGGCGGAGGCTGCTGCTGGTGCCGTGGGGGACCTGAGGGAGAGGATGCGGGAGGTGGAGCGGTGGAGAGGGGAGATGGAGGGGTGGAGTGGGGCGTTGGAGGGGTGGAGAGTGGAAGTGGAGGGGTGGAGAGCTGGGGTGGAGGGGAGAAGCGTTGAGCAAGAGAGAAAGGAGAGGGGTGATGAGGAGTGGAAGGAGGCAGTGGAGGGGTGGAGGAGGGATATGCGGGAGAGGGTGGAGGGGGTGGACGGGAGGGTGCAAGAGGTGAGAGGGAGGGTGCAAGCACTGGAAGGGAAAGTAGAGGGCGTGGAAAGGAGCTTCGAAGGAGTGAAAGGGAGAGTACAAGCGGTGGAAGGGAGTCTAGAAGGGTTTGAAGGGAGGATGAAGGAGGAATGCGTTGCAGCAGTGGCAGCTGCAATGGGAGGAGGAACTGGGAGGGGTTTAGCAGGGGAAGAAGAAGGGGAGAAAGGGGAGAAGGCGAGGCTGCTGGAGCAGAGGGTTCTAGAGCAAGTGGAGGAGATTCGACGAGAGGTGGGGGATCTGGAAGGCGGTCTGGTTAAGGTGCAGGTGAAGCTGGGACAGGTGGTTGAGAGGACTCCGGAGGTGGGGAGACTGGAGGGAGCAATAGAGCAGCTGGAGCAGGAGGTGAAGGACATGCGGGAGAGGATGATGGGTGGGGGGATGGGCGAGGGAGGAGGGGCGGGAACAGGAGGAGCAGGAGCAGGGGCAGGAACAGGGGCAGGGGCTGGGGCTGGGGCAGGGGAAGAGATGGTAAAGAGGCTACGGCAGGTGGAGGTGGAATTGAGTGCAGCGAGGGAGGCAGTGCAGGAGGTGTCAGTGCGAGTAACAGAGCTGGAAGCGAGCTCCATCACAGAAGAAGCATCTGCTGCTGTGCAAGGCGCTGCTGTGGCGTCGATTGAAGCCCAGGTGGCCTCGCTGGAAGAAGAGATGGGGCTGGTGCGAGAACTGCTGGGGGTGATGCAGGAGGGGATGGGGTCGGTGCGGGAGCGGGTTGAGGGGATGGAGGTGCAGGTGCTGGGGTTGGAAGGGCGGCTGGTGATGGTTGAATCACGGATGGGAGAGGGTGCAATGGGGGGGGATGATGTTGAGAGGGAGAGTGAGGGGACGAGAGAGGTTAAGGAGGAGTTAGTCTGGGTAAGGAAGGAGCTGGCAAGGCTTGACACGGGAGTGAGGGGACTGGAGCAGTCGTTGAAACAGGCTGAGGAGGTTCGGCAGGAGTCGCAGGTTCAGGAGGCGCAGGCTCGGGTAGCACTGGCTGCGGAGCTCCAGGAAGACCTGCAGCTGGCCAGGCAGAAAGGTTTGGAAGAGGCTCGGCAGGTGGCACGAGAGGAGGTTCAGAAGGTGGGGATAGGAAGCAGAAGCGAAGGGCTTTCATGCGCAAACGAAGCTCCTGCGAATGCTGATGATAATGCTGAAGGAGGGGAGGAACAAGGCAGTGGTGGTGCTTCTGCCTCTGCATCTGCTTCTTCTTCAGCTGCAACGGTTGGATTGTGGGAGGTAGTATCGAGCGTGCAGGTGGAGGTGAAAGAGCTAAGGACGAGGGGCTTTGCGTTAAGGGATAGTGTGGAGGAGGTGAAGAAAGACATGCGAAGAGAAGGTAGGACGTTCAAGGATGCTCTGGCCCACCTTGAGACGGACCTCAAGGTGGTTCGGCGCAGCGCGGAAGAGGCTCGGGACGAGGCTGTCCGGCAGGCTCGGGAGAGTGCGGAGCGGGCAGTTGAGAGGGCGGAAAGTGCTGTGGCGAGTGCAGTGGGGGAGATGAATGGCTTGGTGAAGAGATGGGGAGAGGTGGTGGGAGAACAGAGGAAGAGAGTGGATGAGGTGGAAGGGAAGATGCAGCAGCAGGTGCAGGGAGTGTCTGAAAAGGTGGTGGGGTTGGAAAGAGCGGTGGAGAGGAGTGGAGAGGAGTTGGCAGGGTTGCGGCAAGAGAGTGTAAAGGAGGCGGAGAGAGTAGAGAGGCTTGAGGAGATGGTTGAGGAGGGGTTGGAGAAGGTGGAGAAGGATGTAGGTGCGGCTGCTGCTGCTGCTGCTGAGGCTGGGACGAAAGCTGCTGCAGGTGAAGCAGCAGTGGCTGCTGCTGTGGAAGCAGCAAGAACAGATGCGGCCGCGCGGATCGACCTTTTAGAGGCCGAGATTCGTACGAAGATCAACGGTGTGGAGAGAGAGGTTGATGCCGTGCGTGAGAAGATCAACGGTGTGGATGAGAAGGTGGAGAGCTTGGGAGAGGAGATGGTGCAGGTGCAGCTGAAAGTGGATGGGACGGAAGAGGGGGTGCATGCTCTAGAGCTTCAAGCGGGGAGTCTAGCTGATCACGTGAAGGCAGTAGAGGAAGAGGTGAATCTAGAGAAGCGGAGAGGGGAGGAGAAAGCAGCGGAAGACGCGTTGAGACGGTGGACAGAGGAGGAGAGCGCGAGAGAAACCGCGGCAGATGTGGAGAGTATCAAAGCCCGGGTGGAGGAGATGGAGAGGTTGCAGCAGAGCCTGGTGCAGGCTCATGAGAAGGCGGTGCAGGAACTGGTATCAGGGCAGGCGCGGCTGGTGAAGGGGCAAGATGAAATCTCACAGGAGGTGCAGCGGCAGGAGGAGGAGCGGTTAGCTGCTTCCCAAACGATGCTTGCGCGGTTGCAGGCGGACGTGCGGGCGCTGGTGGGGAAGCTGGAGGGGGTGGTGAGGGAGGAGCAGAGGAAGATGCGGGGGGAAGTGGCGGCGGGCGTGGGGAAGATGGAGGGGGAGATGAAGCGCGTGGAGGGGAAAGTGCAAGGCGTGGAAGAACGGGTTGGGACAGCGCTCGAGGTAGGGAGGGAGTCGGTGAGGAGGAGAGGGAGAGTGAGAGGGAAGCAGCCTGAATCGGGTTTGGAATCAATGAGAGGGAAGCAGCCTGAGTAGTTGAAGTCTGTGTTTTCCTTTGGTCTCCAACTACTGGCTTGATGGATGGCCTACCTACGTGCTGCTCGGCATCCGATAAGGGACATACATCACTTGACCTCCAATGTCCCTCCTTTCTTTCCCCCTCATTTCCTCTCATGTCCCCTCGTTTCCCCTCCTTCCCCCTCACTCTCCCCCTCATGCTCACCCTCCCCCCCCTCCATTTCCTCCGCCAGCAATGCCAGCGGCTGCAGGGCACGAGCAGGGATCACAAGGAGGACCTGGCGCGCATAGAGGGCGACCTGCACACGCTCTCCCTCTCGCACTCGCAGCTGCTTGCTAATCTCCAAGCCAAGCAGTCCAAGCAAGGTGGGTAGTGTGGTGCTCATGATGGTGCTGGTGCTGGTGATCGTGATCGTGGTAATAGATGGTGGTAGTGGTGAAATATCCTCCTGGGCATGATCAGGCACGGTGGAAGGGTTTGAGGCAGTGAAATATCCTCCTGGTGGTGCATGTGGGAATCTGTGCTAGTTGTTAACCACGATTGTCAGCGGAACGCATGGCGATAGGTGTGGCACGCCGCGCTGTCCATCGACTTGGGAACGGTTGTACTCATAACCACTCTCCCTCCTCACCACTGCCCGCTCTTTCCACCCAACTTTCCCTCCCCTATTCCCCAACCCACTCTCTCCCATGTCCACCCCTCCCCTCCCCTTGCAGGTCCTGGGCTCATTAGGTTTCACCAGAGGACCTGTCTCCCTGGGAAAGACCCCCCAACACTCTGGCCCATAGATCCTCCCTCTCCCAACTCCCCTCACCCCAACCCTCTCTCCCTTGTCCATGCTCCCCTGCCTCTACCCCTCCACTCTTTGCAGGCCTTGGGTTCATGAGGTGGCATCAGCCGCGCCCATCCAAGTCAGAAGAAGACCCGTCTCCCTCGGAGAGCCCCACCAATCCTCTGGCCCGCAGAGCCTCGCTGCGGCCGCCCTCCGCCTCCCCGTCCCCGGAGCTCCGTGGGTCGTCCATGTCGTCGGATAGGAGTGACACCACTGGCGGCGCCATTGTGCTGGGCCTCAAGTCCCCAACTGGGGCTGATTAGACTTTTGAGGCGCCTAAATAGTTGCATGGCAGCGCCGCTACTGGCGGCGCCATTATGCTGGGCCTCAAGTCCCTAACTGGGGCTGATTAGTAGGCCAGTCGACGGTACTGTGCGGTGCGGCTTGGAAGGCCCTCGGTCGGTCCTCCTTGGAGCTCCGTGGGTCATCCATGTATTCGGACGGCAGCGGCATCACTGGCCATTGTGCTGTGCTGGGCCTCAAGTCTCCGTCTGTCTGGGGAGTCGGGACTGATTCAATGGGCGTTCCAGTCCAGCCAGCTTCCATGGCATGTGACTGGGAAGGCCTCAGTCCATGGAGATCCACGTGTCGTGTCGACTGTCATAGTGTTCCGGGTGGCACAGTTGTCGTCTCGGCCCGGTTAGAGTTGTAAAACCACATGCCTTTGGTTTGTTAGGGTACAGTACAGCGAAATCAACAGGATTGGCCATAGTAGGTTGGTCCAGTATGCTGCTTCGCACAACTGCATATTTATTGCAACACACCCTAAATATCATAGTACGATAGTATTGCTAAGAATTGTAATGAGTAGCCCTCAATTGGATTATGTCAAACAAAGGAATTGATGGAACTAGTATTCTCTCTACAGCTGGTCTGGTTGAGTTTTGTACAGTGTGCAGTAATTTGAGGACTGTTTTGTGCTTACCCATATCAGTATTCTCCCTCAACTTCTTGTTTGCAAAACCTGTGCCATTATATTGCATACTGATGCTTGATGCTGAAGGTTTTGTTTGTTCACATCACATCAATGTACAAAGTGATGAATTGTGGACAGCTCAACGTATAAGCAGAATGTAATGTACCGCGTTGCAGTGTAACAGTCTACCCCTCTACACTCGACACATCACGTCAGCCTTACGCCACCCACATCATCTTCGCTGATATTCTCGCATGAATCGTACGCCTTCGGTGCTCCCTCCGTTTAGAAAATCACTCTGAACGCTCGATCTGGCCGCGAAAAAAAACAATTTGGCGCGAAAAGTCTACCCATGATTTTCCTCTCTGAAGCAAGGAACACCCCGCTGATCCACTTCTGATTTTGCACAGGTTTGGGATGACAAATACATTCGTAGAGGTTCTAGACGCACGAATGTATCAAAATTGCCTCCAGTAGAATCTCCCTGAAGGATGACTATGTAGACATTTTGATATGCTTCGTCTGAAGGGGCGTGGTTCTGTTTGATTTCTACGCGTTTCTTTCTGCGATGGCGGATCCTGGTTCGCGTGGTAGTCATCAATTCGGTCAACAGCAGCCGCATTGGCAACATAGGCAGCGGCCGCAGGTGCCTGCGCCGCAGCAGCAACAGCAGCAGCTGCAGCAACAGCATAACCAACCTGCATATGAGTATCCTCCTCAGTATTATCAGCAGCAACCGCCGCAGGTATATCAATCCCAGTTCTCACAATATGGTGCGGGGTTGCATGGCTTACAGAGGAACAGCCTTGCAAACCCGCCCGCGAGCATGCAGTCAAACTTCGATTCTGGTGTTGTAGCTGGAGCATCTGCCGCTGACATCCATGCTTCCAACTCTGGCGACCGCATCAACGGCCAGAATCCACCAGCAGCTGCTGGCAACGGCCAGGGTCGCGCGGATGGTACGCTCAGTCCAGCAGGACAGGGGAGAGGCAGAAGAGGCAGGGTGGGGAGGAAAAGCACAGGAGGAGACAGCAGGGGTAGGGGTAGCCGAGGTAGCAGCAGGGAAGCGGATACGGATGGCAGAGGGAGGGGACGAGCAAGAGGGAGAGGGGCGGCACGAGGTGGGGCGAGAGGAAGGGCAAGAGGTGGGGCAAGAGGGGTAGACACAGGCGAAGGGGCAGAGGCGGATGGAGTGACAGCAGCAGGAGCGGGGGCGAGAGGGGCAAGGGGGGGAGCACGAGGGGGAAGAGGAAGGGGGAGGGGAGCGGTAGTGCCTGCTCCGATTCTAAGGGCGGAGAACTTTTCGATAACTGTAACGGACGAAATGAGGGAGGCTGCGAGAGAGGCTGTGCGGGCGAGGGGGTGGGGGAGGTTGCCGGGCATGGAGAGCGAGCAGGAGCGGGCGCTAGGAGGGACAACCCCTGAGCTGCGATACCTGCTGGATATGACTGTCGGCAGGTGGGTGCACACAACCCTTGCCACCTTGCCTGGACGCTCAATCCTACCTGACGCTCAATCCTACCTGACGCTCAATCCTACCTGACGCTCAATCCTACCTGACGCTCAATCCTACCTGACGCTCAATCCTACCTGACGCTCAGTCCTACCTGACGCTCAGTCCTACCTGACGCTCAGTCCTACCTGACGCTCAATCCTACCTGACGCTCAATCCTACCTGACGCTCAGTCCTACCTGGCGCTCAGTCCTACCTGACGCTCAGTCCTACCTGCCCTCCCTGATTCCCTGCCGCTCACGTTTGCTTCTTCTCATAATGCCGTGCGTTCTCTCACGCTCTCCGCTCGCCCTCTTTCGTTCACGTTTTCTCATCCTCTCCACTCCTCGCCCTGCCCCTCGCTCCGATCGCCCTCCTGTGGGTGCTCGCAGTGAGATGGTGAACGCTATGCCAGCAACGTGGGTGCGCGACCTCACCTCCTATGGGTCCTCTAATTAATGCACAAGCCTACCTGCGCTCGCAGCCCTCATGCTCACTTCTTCCCGTGTGCCCTCTCTCTTCGTGTTCCTCTCTCACTCTCTCTCCCCCCCCCCCCCTCCTCCCCTTGTGCATGCGTGCAGTGAGATGGTGAATCACATGCCAGCAACGTGGGTGAAATTCCTCACCAGCTTGCCTCTAGTGGATGCAGACGCATACCTGCGCTCGCTGCCCCCGCTGCTCCCCCACTCTGCTGCTCCTGTCAGTCACTCACTCCATCCTCGCCCATCCTCGCCCATCCTCGCCCATCCTCGCCCATCCTCGCCCATCCTCGCCCATTCACGCCCATTCACGCCCATTCACGCCCATCCACTTCCATCCACGCCCAGCTGTTCACGCAATCTCAACTGTCCATGCACCCTGTAGATGCTTTCAAGACACTTTTGCAGTCATTTGGACACACACACACATACCAAAGGCCCTTCGAATCGAAGCACTTTACATCAATCAATACTGCTTGCTGAGCCATTCCCAAATCCCATGCCCACGCTTGAGTCTGTTACTCGGTTTCCTTTGTCTTCTTGTACTCAATTTCTCTTCCCTTTTGTTTGTATGAGGCGTTCGCATGGACTGCCACGACACGGTGCAACCATGCTCCCGGTGTTGCGTTTGGTGCTCTCCCACTGCCACAACTACTGCCTGCCTGTGTGGCGTGCCTGTCTAATGTTGCTTTGTGTATGCTTGCCCTCGTGCATGCATGTGCATGTGCATGTGCATGTGCATGTGCATGTGCATGGCAACTGCAGCAAGGAGTGGCAGCAGCACTTGCGGATCCTGAAAGGAGAGCCTTTCTGGAAGTGCATATACATCCACGCCATGGGATACAATATGTGGTGAGTGAGTGAGTGCTCCAGCCAAGGTAGCTGCAATCAGTTGTGAGATTTGAGGTCGTCTCTCTTTGACGCCTCAAAGGTCGTCTCTCTTTGACGCCTCAAAGGTCGTCTCTCTGCGTGCAAGGCAGGCAATGCTGTTTAGGAGCCTCATCGAAAGTCCTTTTAGAAGTGCACATACATGCATTGACGCCATGTGGCATGGATATAGTATGTGGTGTGTAGCAGTGTGGCATGGATACAGTATGTGGTGTGTAGCAGTGTGGCATGGATATTGCATTGGGTCATGATACATCTGCAGGGAGTGACCATTCTTTCTTTTCTTTATATTGTTTTCTCTCTGTTAAGACGTTTCCACACAGCCAAGTTGACTTTTGAGTCGACTCAAAATGTTACAAAGGTACCGCACGGCCCTGTAAGCACACCGTGGCAAGTCAACACAAGGGCGTGCCCCTTCTCCCCCTCTTCTCCATTCTCCTCATCTCCCCTCCCCTCTGCCCCTGCAACAGGGCGTGGCACAGGACCCGGGGGGGTCAGCAGCGCACAGGGTGCTGACACACATGCGGATCATGAAGGTGCTGTTCCTGCTGCCGCTGCACCCGCACAAGCGCAAGGCCATGCGCTGGTGCCAGCGCGTGTGCCAGCACGGCATCGTCGTGGGGCTCCGCCGCTTCAAGTACCTCGGTGTGTTGCCAGGCTGGGTTGCCTTTCCCAGGTGGGTTGCCCAAGCGGGTTGCCCAGTGGATTTGCCGTCTGTCTGGCTGGTTGGTGGGTTTAAGTAATCGTTTTAGTTGACCGTTTTAATTGACAAGCAGAGGTGGGGGAATGTGTGTGTTTACAGTTGTCCAAGAACACACGTTAAGATTTATCTTTAGTTGTATTTGGACTTGTTCCCTGGTCGGCTACTTACCTGTGTTGCTGATTGCTTGGTTTGGTGGTTGGCTGCTTGGTTGTTGGTTTCGTTTGGGTGACGTTGTGGGTGGAAATGCGGGGTATGGGTGGGTTGGCGGGGCGGACTTCAATGCTCAAGCAAGCACCAATAAAAAAAGCTCTCCCATCCCCCAAGGCTTCTTACTAGCTCTTGACTCCGCAAGCCTTTGAAACCTTACCTGCTTGCACTCGACAGGTTACCACTTGACGTTACAAATCCCCCACCACGTGTTACCCCACCAACAGCTATGCTGGAGTCACTTTTGAGATCTCTTTTGAGATCTCTCTGAAGTGACCACTTGCTCACTTGTTCCCCCCCCTCACCCCACCAACAGCACACAAGACAGACCGAGCCCCCAAGACAGCACACTTCCATCCCAAGGCGTTCTTCCTTGCCCTCGACTCTGCCGCCTCCTGGGACCTGCAGCAGCCACACATTTTTCACCCCTTTGCCTCTGCGTGGGATGCACGGGCAGTGTTTGGAAACTTTGACAGCTGCCCGAATGTGCCGAAGCTGGCCGCCCGGTGAGGGGTCACACCTGATATGATTGTGTTTGTAGAAACAGTGTTATGAATCATCACAAAAACACATGCACGCCTTCTCAGGAGCCGGATTGTTCACTTCTTAATCCTCGCTCCTCGCTCCCACTTGACTTCACGGGAATTCCCGTAGCTCGTTATAGATTGTATCCACACCTTTGTGTAATGAGTCGAGTTTTGAGTCGATTCAAAAACTCCACTTGACTTTACTGGAATTTCTGTGGCTTATTATAGATCGTATCCACACCTTTCCCATGCTATGGCAGTGAGCTTTTCGAAGTTCCTCTCCCCAAACAACCATCGCCCCCTCTCTCTTTCCCCCCTCCTCCCCATTCCCTCGCCGTTACGCCCCTCCCTGCACTAACGGCATAGGCCCCACCTTCTGAAGCGCCTTCCTGTTTGTGCTCCCTTCAAAGCAACTGCGTACTTCGTTTTTCCCTACTTCGCCCCTGCTTCCCTCCATCTTCTGCCCCTGCTTGACCGCTGCTTCCTGTGTCTCCATCCATTCCCCCCCTTCACAGCATAGGTCTCATCTTCTCGCGCACCTACCCAATGCTTGACGCCTCTACCATCTCCCCTGCAGTGCTCCAAATCGCTGACGACGAAACATGTGAGGTGTGTTTATGTGACGAGGTGACTTTTGAGTCGACTCAAAAGTCACCTCGCTGGCGACGAAACATGTGAGGTGTGTTTATGTGACTTCACATGCGCACTGAAGTGTGAACCTTTTGACTTGAAGCATTCCCACTGACGCGAGTGAGCGTGCATGTGAGATGTGTGATGCTGCACTGGGTCTGGGTGAGGGACTGTTGCAACATATGTGCCTTATGTGTGTCATGCGTGACATGGTATGTGCACGATACTGGCCGTCCTTGTATCGTTCGTTTCGGATGCAAAACAGGGACATCATTATTGGTTGCTGCTCTCGCCCCTCCCCCCTAAGTCCCCCCTCCTCCTCTTCCCCCACCCCCATCTTCCCCCCCCCCCCCTCGCCCCTATCAGGACGGCACCAATTCCACGGACGGCAATGGCATGATACTGGCTGCTCTCGTTCCACCAAAGCACATCTCCCGGGGAGAGGAGCTCTGGGCCGACCAGGTACCCATGCCGGTCGAAATAGGTGCAGTGCGTTGAGGTGGATTAGAGAGGGGCGGGAGTGGAGGTGGGGAGGAATGCAGAGAGAGCGGATGGAAGGAGAGTCGAGTAAGGGTGGGTTGGTAGGAGGAAAGAGAGGGTTTGGCATTAGGTTTTAGGGATTACTCTAAACAGTTAAACCCTGTTAAGTGGGGATGGGCAAATAATCTTCTCTTGTGTTCTCTTCTATCGGAAACTGTTCACTTGTGCAATTTCCCACTTCCACACCCATGCACTTTGACAAACCCAAGTTCAGAGTCTATCCAGCTAGAGTCCTTTCAGATTAAGACTAGGACTCTGATCTGATCGGAGCATCGTGCTCTGCGCTGGCTGGGTGAATCACCCACCATCACTCTTCTCACGTGCATGCATCTGCTTGCTGCCGCCCTTCCTCTCCTCTATGTACTGTCTCTGTTGGCTCTTGCTGCACACGCAGAAGCAGCTTGGATCCAACCAAGCACAACAGCAGCAGGTGTTGGGGCAGACACAGCAGCGATCACAAGTTAACTTGCAGCAGCAGCAGCAGCAGAGAGCTCAGGAGCAGGCCAGAGCAGCAGCGGTGAGGGCAGCAGCGGCACAAGAATTGGAGGATCCGGAGTGGGAGGATGAAACGAGGGCAGCAGCAGCAGCAGTGAGGGCAGCAGCAGCACTTGAGCTGGAGGAGCCAGGCTCGGATGATGAGGTTCAAGCAGCAGCAGCGTCAGGCACAGCAGCAGCAGGAGCAGTAGCAGGACAAGGAGGAGCAGCAGCAGCAGCAACAGCAGGAGCAGGAGGAGGAACAGCGGAGGCGGCGGCGGCAGCAGTGGTGGCAGCAGCAGCACTTGAGCTGGAGGAGCCAGACGAAGAGGAGGAGGAGGAGGATGGGGTGGAGTGGGATGAGGACGAGGTTGACTGGGATGCCATGAACGTGGCTGTGACTCAGTTTGAACAGGAACGCGGGCTGCTGGGGGGAGGTGCTGCTGCTGCTGGCGATGCGACAATGGGGGGTGCAGAAGCGGGCGCAGAGGGGGGTGTGTATCAAGGAATTGGGGGGTCAGGCGGAGGGGAGGAAAGTGATGGGTTGCTCTGGGACAGTGCTAGCCTGGTTGTGACACAGATAGAGCAAGAGAGGGGACTGGTGCAAGGGGTTGGGGGTGGGGGATGGGGAGCAGGAGCAGGAGCAGTAGGAGGAGGAGGGGGGGGAGGAGTAGGAGGAGGGGGAGGAGGAAGAGGAGAAGGGGGGGAAATTGGGGGAGGAGCCGGTAGAAATGCTGGAGGGGGGGTTCGGGGCGAGGGAGCGGGGGAGGCGGGGTATGAAGGGGTGCGACCAGCTGTGTGGCAGATGAGAGGGTTTTTGGGAGGCATGGTGGTGAAGGGGACACTGCTGGTGGTCCAGCAGGTGAGATTGAACAAGCTGCAGATCAGTGTACTTTGTGCGGCACTGCTCACACTCACTCTTTCACGTTGCGTTACTCTTGAAGGCAATTGTGTGGGTTTTGTGGGGTTGCTCTGGTTGAGGGGATGGTGCTGAAGGGAACGGTTATGGTAGGTAAGACTCAAATGTAGTCAGGTAAGAGCTGACAGCCAAATGGAGGTCCATCATTCATGTATGCCTCAAGGTGACCCACCATTGTACATGTGTGCCGGTGCATCTGGTGAAGGCATGATCAGTTGTCCCAATTCTCAGCTCCCGTCACCTCCCCTCTCCTCTCCTCTCCTCCCCTTCCCTCCCTTCCCCTCCCCTTACCTCCCCTCACCTCCCTCACCTCACCGCCTTTCACTTCACCTCACCCATAGTACAGTACAGTGTCTTGTCCTCCACCTTCTATCCACTGACTTTTGAGTTGACTCAGAAGTCACCTCACCCAAAGGGTACAGTGTCTTGTCCTCCACCTTCTATCCACTGACTTTTGAGTTGACTCAGAAGTCACCTCACCCAAAGGGTACAGTGTCTTGTCCTCCACCTTCTATCCACTGACTTTTGAGTTGACTCAGAAGTCACCTCACCCAAAGGGTACAGTGTCTTGTCCTCCACCTTCTATCCACTGACTTTTGAGTTGACTCAGAAGTCACCTCACCCAAAGGGTACAGTGTCTTGTCCTCCACCTTCTATCCACTGACTTTTGAGTTGACTCAGAAGTCACCTCACCCAAAGGGTACAGTGTCTTGTCCTCCCCCATCCACGCTCCGTCTCACTGTGCGGCCTCCAGATGCAACCGCACCTCCTTCCCTTCACATCTCCGTGTCTGTTTTCCCACTCCCTCCCCATCACCCCCCCCCTCCCCCCGATGCCCCCTGTCTTTCTGTGAGACTGTGCCTCCCAGATGCCATCGTACGTCCGTCCCGGCGTGTGCATTCTGCTCCGGAGCAGCATGGTCAAAGTCGCCCCTCCTCTGCCGGACCCAGCAAGCAACCTCGCAGCCCTGTCCACACCCATACTCCCGCCATCACGCCACTCACATCAGTCCCGCCAGTTGCACCAAACACATCAGTCACAGCTGCAGCAGCCAGGCTCACAACCGCAGGTGCAACAGCAGCCGTCGCAGCCGCCATGTCAACCCTCCGGGCCTCTCTTTTCCATAGAAGTGAATGAAACCACGTGAGTGAGTAAGTGAGTGAGTGAGTGAGTGTTAGTGGTTGTTTGGTTGGCCAAGCTGTGGACTAATGTATGTATGATACTGAACCGCCTTACAAGCACTACAGTCACTTACTATCACATCACTTACTGTCATTTACAGTCATGTACAGGCGCCACCGTTGCTCCTCGTTCAATCCTTGCTCCTTGCTCTTTGCTCCTTAACCTTTCCCTCGGACCAACCCAGTCTCCCATCCCCATGTCCGATACCCGTCCCAGCATCCCTGTCCCATTCCACTCCCCATTCCGCTCCCCATACCACTCCCCATTCATTCTCCCATCCATCCCATCCCTGCCTGCACTGCCCCCGTCAGCAAGGAGGCACTGCCAGCGCGTCTCAACCGCACGGTGATAGCACTGCTGGAGAGGGGAGGGGTGCCCGCACACCTCTTCCTGGACCTCGTGCGCTCCGCTGCTGCTGCTGCCTGTGCACCTGTCACTGAGCACAAGGCTGCCATGAAACGTGTGCTCCTTCTTTCCACGCTCTCTCCTGCTCTTCTTCTTCTTCTTCTTCTTCTTCTTCTTCTTCTTCTTCTTCTTCTTCTTCTTCTTCTTCTTCTTCTTCTTCTTCTTCTTCTTCTTCTTCTTCTTCTTCTTCTTCTTCTTCTTCTTCTTCTTCTTCTTCTTCTTCTTCTTCTTCTTCTTCTTCTTCTTCTTCTTCTTCTTCTTCTTCTTCTTCTTCTTCTTCTTCTTCTTCTTCTTCTTCTTCTTCTTCTTCTTCTTCTCTTCTTCTTCTTCTTCTTCTTCTTCTTCTTCTTCTTCTTCTTCTTCTTCTTCTTCTTCTTCTTCTTCTTCTTCTTCTTCTTCTTCTTCTTCTTCTTCTTCTTCTTCTTCTTCTTCTTCTTCTTCTTTCTTCTTCTTCTTCTTCTTCTTCTTCTTCTTCTTCTTCTTCTTCTTCTTCTTCTTCTTCTTCTTCTTCTTTCTTCTTCTTCTTCTTCTTCTTCTTCTTCTTCTTCTTCTTCTTCTTCTTCTTCTTCTTCTTCTTCTTCTTCTTCTTCTTCTTCTTCTGTCTTCTCTTCTTCTTCTTCTTCTTCTTCTTCTTCTTCTTCTTCTTCTTCTTCTTCTTCTTCTTCTTCTTCTTCTTCTTCTTCTTCTTCTTCTTCTTCTTCTTCTTCTTCTTCTTCTTCTTCTTCTTCTTCTTCTTCTTCTTCTTCTTCTTCTTCTTTCTTCTTCTTCTTTCTTCTTCTTCTTTCTTCTTCTACTTCTTTCTTTCTTCTTCTTCTTTCTTCTTCTTCTTCTTCTTCTTCTTCTTCTTCTTCTTCTTCTTCTTCTTCTTCTTCTTCTTCTTCTTCTTCTTCTTCTTCTTCTTCTTCTTCTTCTTCTTCTTCTTCTTCTTCTTCTTCTTCTTCTTCTTCTTCTTCTTCTTCTTCTTCTTCTTCTTCTTCTTCTTCTTCTTCTTCTTCTTCTTCTTCTTCTTCTTCTTCTTCTTCTTCTTCTTCTTCTTCTTCTTCTTCTTCTTCTTCTTCTTCTTCTTCTTCTTCTTCTTCTTCTTCTTCTTCTTCTTCTTCTTCTTCTTCTTCTTCTTCTTCTTCTTCTTCTTCTTCTTCTTCTTTCTTCTTCTTCTTCTTCTTCTTCTTCTTCTCTTCTTCTTCTTCTTCTTCTTCTTCTTCTTCTTCTTCTTCTTCTTCTTCTCTTCTTCTTTCTTCTTCTTCTTCTTCTTCTTCTTCTTCTTCTTTCTTCTTCTTCTTTCTTCTTCTTCTTCTTCTTCTTCTTCTTCTTCTTCTTCTTCTTCTTCTTCTTCTTCTTCTTCTTCTTCTTCTTCTTCTTCTTCTTCTTCTTCTTCTTCTTCTTCTTCTTCTTCTTCTTCTTCTTCTTCTTCTTCTTCTTCTTCTTCTTCTTCTTCTTCTTCTTCTTCTTCTTCTTCTTCTTCTTCTTCTTCTTCTTCTTCTTCTTCTTCTTCTTCTTCTTCTTCTTCTTCTTCTTCTTCTTCTTCTTCTTCTTCTTCTTCTTCTTCTTCTTCTTCTTCTTCTTCTTCTTCTTCTTCTTCTTCTTCTTCTTCTTCTTCTTCTTCTTCTTCTTCTTCTTCTTCTTCTTCTTCATCTTCTGCATCTTCCCTTTTGCATCGAGATTCTAAAGGCATCTGTCACCGGCCGCGAGGCTGGTATGAAACGTGCGCTGATTCTTTCCACGTTCCCGTCTGTGCGGCCTTCCGTTTGTGTTCATGCTGGTTCGTCGTGTCTCTCTACTCTGATTCGCTCTCCTTGCTTGCTTTCGTTCAGCCTGACACTCGTCCGTTCTCCCTTCCTTCCTCCCTCCTTCCTCCCTCCCTCCCTCCCCCATCTCTCCCAACCGCCCTCTATCCCTCCCAGTGCTACAGGAGAGCATGCGGGGGCACAAGAGGGTGGTGGATCCTAGGGACGTGCAACTGGCGTGTCGCATGCTGCTCTCCTCTGTGGACCTCCGGGATGCATTCATTCAGCGCGTGCTCTGGCGCCTGCAGTACGCACACATTCAGGTACGTTGGAGCTTGCTTTGTTCATTTTATTCCGTTCTTTTCTTTTCCCTGTTTCTTTTGCTTTTTGTGTGCGTGGGTGCGTGCGTGCGTGCGTGTGTGCGTGCGTGCGTGCGTGCGTGCGTGCGTGCGTGCGTGCGTGCGTGCGTTCGTGCGTGTCGGTGTGTGCTTTGTTCTGTTTTGTTTGGGATTTTAGTTAAACCCAGGAGGTTTTCCCGCCCCCTTTTTCATATTGGTGGTATATTTTGGAGTCACTTAAAAGTAAAAATCAAACAAAGTCACACCTTCACCAGTGCAGGCAGCTCCCCCTCTCTAGTGCACTGCAAAGGTAGAGAGACGTTTTTTTAGGCGCCTCAAAGGTGGCCGCCCTCTTCTCTTATCAATATTGTGGCTAGAGACCTTTAGGCGCCTCAAAGGTCATCTGTGGAGGTGGCGCCGCTTCTCCTTATCCTGGCTCTTCAGAATTTTCACGAACCAGCTTGTCCTTTTTGAGGCGCCTCAAAAATCTGTGAAAGTGGTGGTGGCATCTTCTCTGTATCATCCCCTCCTCTCCCTTCCCCTCTCCTCCCCTCCCCTCCCCTCCCCTCCCCTCCCCTCCCCTCCCCTCCCCTCCCCTCCCCTCCCCTCCCCTCCCCTCCCCTCCCCTCCCCTCTCCTTCCCTCGCCTCCCATCAGGGTCTAGCAAGTGGCAAGGTGGAGGTGCCGCACTGCTACTACCTCATGGGGGTGGCTGATCCCTCCAACACGCTCGCACCCAACGAGATTGTTGTGCTCCTGTGAGTCTGCTGCTGCTCATGGCGTTTCTTTTCCTTCATACTGTAAAGAACGCCTGTGAGTGAGTGCGCTACACGTATTGTTGTTTACTACAAGTGTAGAATGCTTGCAACTGGAAGAAAGAACGTGGTTGTGCTTCTGGTAGTGTAAAAGGTATGGTGCCTTGTTCACGGCGTGAAGTACCTCAATGGATGATGCTTATGACAACGCAAAGCACCTCATCTTCTTCGTTTTCCCTGCCCTTTTCTCATCCCCCTATCCCCCTCACATTCTCCCCCTTCAGCCATGACGGCCCAGTGTCAGGCCCATGCCTGGTGTACCGCCAAGGTGGGTGTTGAGTCAACCAAATCACCCCCTCGCCCCCAACTCACCATCCATCTCCCCACTCCCCTCCTCCCAGCCATGACGGCCCAGTGTCAGGCCCATGTCTGGTGTACCGCCCGCCATCTCTCCTCGTGAGCAACATCCGCCGCCTCTCCGCCGTGCACTCGCCCGCCGTGCTCTCCCTGCTGCCGCGCTCCTCGCGCTTCTGTGTCATCTTCTCCACGCGCGGCCAGCGCTCTGTGACTGACTGCATGGGCGGGGGGGACCTGGACGGAGACAGGTTCCTCGTTATCATGCATCCCCAGGTGAGCATGTGAAATTATGATGTTTTTGAGACATCTCAAAGACTGCATGGGGGCGGGGGGGATGTGGACAGAGACAGGTTTCTGGTTATCATGCACCCCCAGGTGAGCATCAAGGGTTGAGGGGGGAGGGGGGGACTGGGAATGAGATCGGCTTTTGTGTGGTGGTGTGGAGAGAAAGTGGGAGATTGGGAATGGACGAGGAACGGAGAAAAAGCGGGTGAAAGGGGCAGGCAGGGAATATGGCTATTTTATTATCCTGAATCTGTCTCGCGTTTTTCCCCCCATTCATCCCAATCCTAAACCCTAAACCCATCCCTCCTCCAACACACATCGCCTCCCATCCACCTCCTATTCCCCCTCGGATCGTCAGCGCCAGCGTCCCCTGCCATCTGATTGAAGAAGTGTTTTGAGACGTCTCAAAACACCCCCTCAGATCGTCAGCGCCAGCGTCCCCTGCCATCTGATTGAAGAAGTGTTTTGAGACGTCTCAAAACACCCCCTCAGATCGTCAGCGCCAGCGTCCCCTGCCATCTGCCTGCCCATCGGTCTCGGAGCCTCTCCCCTCCGCCCACTCCCATGCCACCCTACTGCTGTGCGAGTTTTGAGACGTCTCAGAATGTCCCATCCACCTCCCATCCGCCTCCTATTCCCCCTCAGGTCGGCAGTGCCTTCACGAGCGCCCCTTACCACCTGCCAGCCCATCCATTTCGAAAACCCTCCCCCCACTCCCACCGTACTATGCTGCAACCTCCAATCACTTCCACTCCACCTCCCAACCTCCCATTCCCCCTCAGACCGTCAGCGGAGCATCCCCTGCTGCCTGCCTGCCCATCCGTCTCGGAGCCCCTCCCCCCACTCCCGTCCAACCCTGCTGCTGCACTCGTTTCGTGACATATTAAAATGTCCCATCCACCTCCCATCCGCCCCCCATTCGCCCTCAGATCGTCAGCGCCTTTCGCGAGCGTCCCCTGCCGCCTGCGTGCCCCTCCGTCTCGGAGCCCCTCCCCCCACTCCCATGCGACCCTGCTGTGCGGGAGAGAGCGCTCATCCGCTGCTGGCTGGACGGGGAGCTCTACAACCGGTGAGGAAGACTGGTGGGGATGCTATGAATGGTGGGTGGGATGTCTGCAGTCGATGGGGGGAACCTCGTCGTGCATTCTTTGTGAATGCCCCTCCCCCCACTCCCATGCGACCCTGCTGTGCGGGAGAGAGCGCTCATCCGCTGCTGGCTGGACGGGGAGCTCTACAACCGGTGAGGAAGACTAGTGGTGATGCGTTTGTCTATACAAGACTGGGGGATGTCAAGTGAATCTCTCTCCCCCCACTCCCATGCGACCCTGCTGTGCGGGAGAGAGCGCTCATCCGCTGCTGGCTGGACGGGGAGCTCTACAACCGGTGAGGAAGACTGGTGGGGATGCTATGAATGGTGGGTGGGATGTCTGCAGTCGATGGGGGGAACCTCGTCGTGCATTCTTTGTGAATGCCCCTCCCCCCACTCCCATGCGACCCTGCTGTGCGGGAGAGAGCGCTCATCCGCTGCTGGCTGGACGGGGAGCTCTACAACCGGTGAGGAAGACTGGTGGGGATGCTATGAATGGTGGGTGGGATGTCTGCAGTCGATGGGGGGAACCTCGTCGTGCATTCTTTGTGAATGCCCCTCCCCCCACTCCCATACGACCCTGCTGTGCGGGAGAGAGCGCTCATCCGCTGCTGGCTGGACGGGGAGCTCTACAACCGGTGAGGAAGACTGGTGGGGATGCTATGAATGGTGGGTGGGATGTCTGCAGTCGATGGGGGGAACCTCGTCGTGCATTCTTTGTGAATGCCCCTCCCCCCACTCCCATGCGACCCTGCTGTGCGGGAGAGAGCGCTCATCCGCTGCTGGCTGGACGGGGAGCTCTACAACCGGTGAGGAAGACTAGTGGTGATGCGTTTGTCTATACAAGACTGGGGGATGTCAAGTGAATCTCTCTCCCCCCACTCCCATGCGACCCTGCTGTGCGGGAGAGAGCGCTCATCCGCTGCTGGTTTATTGATGCTTGGGTTGGACTGGGGGGAATGATTGGGATGGGCAGGAGGGTGGGAATGCTTCGTATGCTGGGTCACGTCATATGGCAAGGGCTGGCCCACCACAATGCTTATTGAAGCTCATCCGCTGCTGAGCGGCTGCAGAAAGAGATGTTCACCTGGTGGGAGGGGAACGTCAGAGGGGAAAGTCAGGTCAGGCTGCATCTGGTTTTTTTCAGAAACGTTGATGGTACTTTTGAAATTTCTCACAAGTACCATCAACGTCAGAGGGGAAAGTCAGGTTAGGCTGCATCTGCTTGTTTTCCAGATTTCTCAACAGACGGCTGCGCAGCAGAAAGGGCCGCTGTACACCCGGTGGGAGGAGGGTGAGGGTGGGGGGGGGGTGAGACTGCTTGGGATGGGATGTATTCCCTGGCAAATCTGCTTGGAAACCGTTGAGGGGATAGTGAGCAGGCTTAGTGAGTCCACCTCCTCTCTCCGCACCGTGCGTACCCTCCCTCCATCCCCCCCATCCTCCCGCACCATGCCCCTCACCAGGTTCCACATGGGCACGGCAGGCTACCTGCATCTAGCGCACACCGGCCTGCTCTCCCTCACATGATATTCTCTTCCCCCTTCCCTCACATGATATTCTCTTCCCCCTTCCCTCACATGATATTCTCTTCCCCCTTCCCTCACATGATATTCTCTTCCCCCTTCCCTCACATGATATTCTCTTCCCCCTTCCCTCACATGATATTCTCTTCCCCCTTCCCTCACATGATATTCTCTTCCCCCTTCCCTCACATGATATTCTCTTCCCCCTTCCCTCACATGATATTCTCTTCCCCCTTCCCTCACATGATATTCTCTTCCCCCTTCCCTCACATGATATTCTCTTCCCCCTTCCCTCACATGATATTCTCTTCCCCCTTCCCTCACATGATATTCTCTTCCCCCTTCCCTCACATGATATTCTCTTCCCCCTTCCCTCACATGATATTCTCTTCCCCCTTCCCTCACATGATATTCTCTTCCCCCTTCCCTCACATGATATTCTCTTCCCCCTTCCCTCACATGATATTCTCTTCCCCCTTCCCTCACATGATATTCTCTTCCCCCTTCCCTCACATGATATTCTCTTCCCCCTTCCCTCACATGATATTCTCTTCCCCCTTCCCTCACATGGATCACTCTCTGTACTACAATGATTACAATCCCCATTCCTTTACCATCCCCACGGCGCAGCGCACCACCACCCCTCACCAGGTTCCACATGGGCACAGCAGGCAACCTGCATCTAGCGCACACGGACCGGTCTCTTCTTAATGTGCAATTCCCTTGCATGGCCCTTTACAGTATCCCCTCCCCATAACCCCCCCACAACACACACCCCCTCACCAGCTTCCACATGGGCACAGCAGGCAACCTGCATGTAGCGCACATGGACCGCTCGCCTCTGGGTCCGGACTCCCCCGAGTGCCTGCAGCTCGCAGCACTCTACGAGCTGGCCCTTGACTCCGCCAAAACCGGCCACGTGGTGGGTGTGGGGGAGGGGGATGGGGGTTCGGGGATGGGGTGGGTTTGTGGGATGGGGATGGGAATGGGGACGGGGATAGGGTGGGTTTGTGCTTGCAGCTCGCAGTACTCTACAAGCTAGCTCTTGACTCCGCCAAGACTGGCCACGTGCTGGGTTAGTGTGGTGGGGAGAGGGGGAAGGAGGAAGTAAGGGGGGGAGAAGAGGGGTTGGAGGGGAGTAGTGGGCGTTGAGTGTATGTGTGTGTGGATCGGGCGGAGCTGTTTGTGTGTTAGCTGCTATCTGTGATGTGTGTGATGTGTGTGATGTGTGTGTGCATGCAAACATTCTCTTCGGCCCCAAGAGCCGACATGCCTGCCTGCCTCCTTTCGAATCGAATGGTATTCCCATTTTGTACCATACCTACGATGGCATGAAACCCACATATCAGCTGTGAACTCAAAAGCTTCAGACCTAAAAAACCCACCCTTATCTGCAATTTGAAGCCTCCATCTCATCACTCTCGTCACCCGTCGCATCACCTCCATCAAGTCGCCCCCAATCCTCCATCTCCAACTGCCACGCAGGTGGAGGGGCTGGGACGATTCAAGGTGCAGAGCTGCCCTCACTGTATGCGCTCGTACCTTCTCTCCATGTCCATCACCCCCATCCTCCCATCGCCCCCATTTGGCGCGCAGGTGGAGGGGCTGGGGCGGTACAAGGTGGAGAGCTACCCGCACTTCATGCGCTCGTCCACGCGCACATGCTACCACTCCACGTCGCTCATGGGGCAGATGTTTGACGCCGTGCAGGAGGAGCGGCGCAAACACGTGGTCGACTCAGGTATGCGTGTGCATGCAGGTCCCACATATGCAGGTGAGAGTTGATACCTGAACTGGGTTTGTGCACGTGCTACCTGCCCACATCGCTCATTGGGCAGATCAGATGTTTGACGCTGTGCAGGAGGGGCGGCAAAAACATGTTGTGCACTCAGGTGTGTAAGTGCATACCAGCCGTACGTACATGTGCGCACTCATGTGCACTGCGTGAGGGCACAACGTATGCTCCACTCAACACATGAACCAAGGAATAATCTGACTTGAGTCAAGTGTCTGGTCTGGGTTTTATAATGTAGAAGCCACCTTATGATCCACACACTAATTCATGTGATTTGGAGTTCAGTCGGGCTCTTCACTTCATGGAGTGCATGTGGTACGTGAGTGCACACACGACGGGCACCTGCTCGTACCAACCAACCACCTGCTTGAGAGTCTATTTTTGAGGCGCCTCAAAAAGAGTGCATACACGATGGGTACCTGCTCGTACCGGTACCAACCAACCACCTGCTTGGGAGTGTTTGGTGGTGAACTTAACACACGTGAGCTTAGTTGATGTCGAATATGTGCACTTTAGTCGATGCGAATCAATTCACTTTCATTTGTACCGCATCCACCACCGCCACCTGCCCCCTGCCCCCCACTCCACCAGTCCACTCGCATAACGATTTACCTCCCCTCCCCTCCCTCTCCCTCCTCCCCCCATCTCCCTCCCCTCCCCCTTCCTCCTCCCCCCATCTCCCTCCCCTCCCTCTCCCTCCTCCCCCCATCTCTCTTCCCTCCCCCTCCCTCCTCCCCTCATCTCCCTCCCCTCCCCCCTTGACACAGGCGCCATGACCCCAGATGCAGGCATAGCCCTGCTCGCCAGCAAGGACCCCAACGGTGCTGCCAGTCGGGCCAAGTGGGAGGGGCTGCTGGGGCAGTACGAGGTGCAGGTGGGCGATGTGGTGCGGCAGAGAACCACGCTTCTGGGAGGGGCTCGGAGAGCCAGGCTCGCGGCGATCGAAAACAAGTTTCGGCAGGTGCGTGGAGGGCGGAGTGGGGGTGAGTAGGGAAGGGTGGGAGGGAAGTGGAGGAGGGGTTGGGAAGAGTTGGAGGGAGGGTAAGGGATGGGCTTTTTTTTTGTTCCCGAGAAGGCGCCTCAGACGCAGCCTTCAGCTTTTCCTTGTTCATCGTTTTCATCACCAACACACAACATTGTTGTAGCCATGAAGCCAACCATGATGCCAACCATGAAGCCAACCATGATGCCAACCATGATGCCAACCATGATCATGATGTCACCGACAGGAGCTTGAGCAAGGATGGACAAGCTCCTTTGAGCAGCCGTTCCGGCCACAGCACATGCTGTATGAAGCCGCATCGCTGTACATGGTGGGGTATGAGACAGCTCGGAGAGAGTTGGCATTACAGGCAGAGAGAAGAGCTGAAGCGCTGGCAGGCTGTGGGGCTGGTGGAGAAGCGGGTGGGGATGTTGAGATGAGGTCAAGTGGGATGACCGGGGATGGTGATGTAGCGGGTGAGGATGAGTGGGGTGGTGCGGGAGGGGATGAGGAAGAGGAGGGTGTTGGAGATAATGAGGGAGATGATGATGAGGTGATGGAGTATGATGAGGGGGAGGACATGGAGGATGAGGACCTGGCTGATTGCACCAATAGAGCCACTCTTGCATGTCGGTTTGTATGGCATGTTGGCGAAGAAGCTCTGTGTGAGGCCAAGTCGCGGCTGTGTCTAAGGACTGGAAATGGAGTTGGTGGTGGCTGGGGAGTGGAGAATGGAGGGTTCGAAGGAGCTCTTATGACCATGGAGAAGCAAGCATTTGCTGATATAATGGGTCTGTCTGATAACGGTGGAATCGGTGCGCGTGATGTGGATTTGAGTATGCAGTTAAACTGATTTTTCTTATGGGCGACCGTATGAAAATTGTTTTGCACTGTCGTATTCTGAGTCGCTCTCTATTCGGATTAGAGATGTAGAGAAGCGCAGCTACTGGAGGCCGACGCTTTCTACAAGTTGCTGCATCCCTATCCACGTCAGCTACAAAAGTGTAAATGCTGTGGTAGAAACACCCTTGCACGATTTTGAACCACTATTTTTATAAAGCCACGATGTGCTGTCAAGGTCTCACCTAAAGGTTGGGAGCCAATTGGTTGCGTGGATCTCGCTGATGATCTTCGGATCCAACATTTCGGATGACCTGGCATTTGCGAGGCCCTTCCACGCCAGTAGCTTCGTTCACCACACCATTTGGAACCACCACTGGTCCCGTCCCTCAGGAAGCTCGTGCTTTGTCAACGGCTTTTCCACCTCGAACCACGAATAGTGGTGGTCCGTTTGTTACAATCTCAATCACACTCTGCCACGCTGGCGAGGTGAACTTTTCATGCCCTTACTGACCATCCTAGAAATTGCCATTTCTGCACAGCACGACGTACAAGGCAGGAGGTTACTTAGCAAGGTTGGTCCAGCCAGGAGTTGGTTCAGGGACTAGTCTTATCGTGGCGGAATCGACATTTCCGTCTGTTAATTACCGTACCTCTCCGCAGCGACAATGGCTTCCACCACATCCCTCGTTGGAGCCTCCGCTCTCGCGCCTGCTACCGCGCAAGTATCGCGCGGAAAGTCGCAGCGGCAACCGCTCTCCCTCACCAATACATCCCCAGTCCCCGTCAGCATTGTTCTTACTTCCCAAAGCGCCATTCTCCGTGCCGCTGCTCCCTCCTCTCTAGCTCCATGCCAAGCGTCAAAGGAGGGGAAGTGGGGAGTTCAGCTGCCATGGGAAAAGAAGAACGACGAGGAGGAGGAAGAAGAAGAGGTTCAAGGGAAGTCAATTCTGGGAGTTAAACTTCCCTGGAAGCGCGAGGCTGTGGTAGAAGAGGAGGAAGAAGAGCCGCAGTCCAAGACGATCCTCGGCCAACTGGGAACAATGCGCTGGTCGCTTAACCCTAAGGATGACAAGCAGCAGCAGGAGGAGGAGGTAGAGGAGAAGGGTAAAAACTCGTTCTTTGATCAGATCGGAACGATGCGCTTGACGCTGCAGGGGGGGGCGGCGGAGGTTGAGGAGGAGGAGGTGGTGGAGGAAGAGGAGGAGGAAGACGAGAGTTCGTCGTTCTGGCGACAGTGGTACGTCAGCATCACGGGGTTCCCGTTCCCGCTGCGTCCCTTCCTCAGCCGCAAGACGTATCGCTATGAGGTAAGAAACGCGTTCTTTTTTTCTATCAGGCGCTCACAGAAGAAGTTCACGTGTTTCTCCAATGTCCTGTTAATGCGTGGCGCTCACCAGTCACTTCAATGTGAGAGGCAAGTTATAAAAATTATGGTTCGTTCGGCGTCATTTTCCCCTCCATCATTCTTATTCAATTCGACCTCCCATATATTCGCGTACCCGAACTCCCTTCCTGATCTATATGATGCCCACCCACCCCTCCTCCACTTTCCCCTTCCTGCTCTTCCTCCGCCTCTGCACGCCCTCCTCCCGACCCCTCACCCCCCGCCTTCCTCCCTTTTCCTTCAACTCTCCCCCCTCCACCACCCTACCCCATTCCGCCCGCATTTCATCCTGGTTACCCACTCTTAACTCTTCCGCCACCGCCAGGTGGATCGCAACAGCATCTGGTGCTTCGAGCAGGAGCAAGGGCTGGGCTTCAGCAACGTCACCACTAACGTCAGGTGCGTTGCTACTACGTAGGGCGGTGTGGGGTGCGGTTGGTGCAATCTTTGACTCGGTTTCAGAAGAACCTCTGAAATAGTGTGGAACGGAAGGGTAGGACGGGGGCGGGTGGACGGGATGGGTACAGAGAGGATGTGGGTAGTGTCTACATGTGACGCATGGGACGACTGCATACATGTGGCCACATTCATCTGGCTACACACATGTGACTACCTTCAATGTAACAAACGTATGTCGCTTGCGTTCATTCCTTCCAACTGCGATCGTTCACCTGTCTCTCGCCCCCGATCGCGACTGAGGCTTGTTGAACTGTTAGCTCGCACCGAACCAACATCATACATGCGCGTCCGCTGCGTTCCACCTTCTTCTGCTTCGCCTTCTGGCCACGTTCCTTTTCCAAGGATAGACTCTCTTGAAGGTGCTTGGAGAAACCTCGAACGATCTTCTAAATCCCCCTCCTGCTCTCTCGCACCCTCTCTCGTGTTCTGGTTTTGCTGTTTCGTCTGGATGACCGTGGTCCTGTCTCCATCTCAGAATGACGGTTATCAAGCTCAAGTCCGGGGGCCTCTTCGTCCACGCGCCCATTGCCCCCACTGCGGAGTGCCTCAAGGTATGGCTACGAATTGGACCAACACGTGCACAATACTGCCTGCGAATAAACACTGAAACTAGCACGTACATAAGCACTAAGACTAGCAGGAGCAGTGTCCTCTTGCGTACTGCTTCTGAATTATTCAAGATCAGTCGCGGTTTAGAAACCAGAAGAGAAACCAGTGTGCATGTGAGACGCATCATCTAGAAACCAAGAAGGCAACAGCGTTCATTCTCCGTTTTCCACTCCACTCTCCCTTCTCCCCTCATTCCCCTCCCTCTCCTCCCCACTCCCTCCGCACCCTCAACCCAACCACCCCACCAGCTCCTCAAGGATCTGAACCTCCCTGTGGAACACATCGTGCTGCCCACCTTTGCGTACGAGCACAAGGTGTTCGCAGGCCCGTTTGCGCGCGCGTTCCCCAAGGCGCGCACGTGGGTGGCGCCTCGCCAGTGGAGCTGGCCCATCAACCTCCCCCTGCCGTTCCTCGGGCTCTTTGGAGGGACGGTTTTGGCGGAGGACGGACCCAAGCCGGACGAGTGGCCCGAGGAGATCGATTATAAGATCTTTGCGTCCCCTGAAGTTGGTACGTGTGGGTGGGTGGAGGATTGGCCGGGATTACCAGCAGGGGTCCATTCCGTTTGTTGTTGGTTTGGAGTTGACTGAATAGTCACCCCTTGGAGGTTGACTCGAAGATTGTTGTGTTGCCCTGAAGTTGGTGTGTGCATCAATGGAGGGTTAGATGAAGGAGAGCTGCGTTCCTGAGAGAATTGCAGTAGCATTATTAGCTAGGCAGTGGGGTGAAGATGACCGAGTGACCTTCCCCCCTTGCTGCTACTTTGGATTATCCCTCTTCTCCTCCCACCTTCCCTCCACTTCCTGCCATCCCTCTTCCCCTTCTCCCTACCATTTTCTCGCCCATCGTCCCTTCAAGCATAGACCCATGCGTTGGAGGTGGCCTTCTACTGTCGTCCATCTTTTGAATCAACTGTAAAGTCCCTTCCCCTTTTCCCTCTATCCCCTATACACCCCCTCACGGTCCCACCCCACCCCCTGTCCTTCCGCATAGGCTCAGCTCATGTGTGGAGATCACCTTCCCCGGTCCCTCTTTTGTGTGGACTCAGACCTCACCTCGCCTTCCGTCTCCTTTTCCTCACCACGCCCTTCCTCTCCCCCGTAACCTCGTCCCCCCAGGCATAGGCCTGTAAGCAGAGGTTGTCCTCTTCCACCAATCACAAACTCACCTCTCCTCCTCCTCCCCACCAAAAACCCCATTCCTCCCTTCCCGCCCCACCAGGCATCGGCCCATACGTGGAGATTGCATTCTTCCACCGCCCCTCGCGCACGCTGCTGCTCACAGACGCAGTGATCGTGGTGCCCAGGGAGCCCCCGCAGGTGGTGCGCCCTGATGCGCTGCTGGACGCTGCTCGTAACGGCCTTGCCGTGCGCGTGCTCTCCGCGGGACGAGATGTGCCCGACGTGGAGGTGGAGGATACGGAGGAGTTCAGAACTCTCGGTAGGTTGGGTTTGGGTGGATGGGCTGGGTTCGGTTGGGATGGGCTCGGTTGGGCTGGGTTCTGCTGGTTGGTGGGCTGTGGAGAGGTGGGCTGGTTAAGGGGAGGAGCACTGGTGGTGCTACTAGGTCCGAGTGCTGTTCCAGAGCGGGAGATACTAGATGCCAAAGCGGGCGGTACAGAGGAGTTTAGGGTGGATGGAGGAGTGCGATGTAGCACATATGACTGTCGGTGCGAAAGCAACAAGAAGTCATGTCAACATGGCAGTGTAAAGTGCTGCCAATTACCTCTAACCCTACCCCTACCTCTGATCCTACATCTACTCCTATCCCTACCCTTTCCTCCTCCCCTACCTCTACCCCAAACAGGGTGGCAGCGCATGGTGCTGCAGATTCTCTTCTTTGGCCCGGGCAACCTGCTGGAGCCCGAGGAGTCCTTTGAGCGCATCTGTGGCAAGCTTGTAGTCTCTCCCGTCGTCAAGACTCTCGTCTTTGACAAAGTCCCTGCGCAGGTGAGGGGTGGGGGGGTTCAGTGTATTATTGTCTGTCCGATGTGTATGCTGGTCCATGTGTCGATGGCATGTGGTGTGTGTCAGGTGCCAAGTGCTGGTCGTCGAAATGTTGTCAAAATGTTTTGCAGTGCCTTATAAGTTGCCTGAGCGGGTTTATTAGGAAGCTGGTGATGGTGCTCTTGCTTTTAGCAACCAACCAACCTCCCTGCAACCTCTCATGTCACATCCCTCTTTCCCCCCGCCCCCCCTCCCCCCCTCCCCCGCTCTCCCCCTCCCCGACCAGGCTCTAGCATGGATCAACAGCATCACATCTGATTGGGCCTTCACCCGCATCATCCCATGCCATTTCTCCTCGCCAATTGCCGCCACCCCGGCCGACCTACGAAAGACCTTTGCCTTCCTCCAAGACCTCCTCCCTCCCGGCTCCTCGCCATTCCCTGTCATCCCGTCACTACCGGCGATGGCATTCCCAAGCTTCGGGAGCTTGTTTGGAAGGGGGAAGGAGGCTGAGAAGAGAGTGGAGGTGGTTACGGAGTATGCGGAGGATGATTTAGCGACGCTCTCCTCGCTTGATTCCACTCTGGTGTCACTCGGAGTGGTGAAGAGGACTGGTGATCCTTAGGTCCTTAGTTTTAGTAAGGTAGCTTGGTAGCTTGTGATTGTTAAGTCTTATTTTTGTGTCCTGACATTGGTTCTGCGAAATACATCCCTGTGGTAAATTATGCACAAATCATTTGCTTGCTACGCTTACAACCGAAATATAAAATAGTGAAGGCGGATCCAACTTGAATTCGTGCTCGGAAGAAGCAAAACTGGAACGATGATGGGTTGTGTAAAACACTGTTCCGGGCATCGCCCTTCCACAGATTGCACACACGTGATTCGTGTTGGGCTGAGATAGCCCCTTAGGATCTTTGCAAGGGATAACTCTAGGTGAAGTAGTTGTAATAGCGGAAGCGTTTAGTGAAGAATTTGAACCGACCTTGCACTGGTGTGTGAGAGCAAAGTTGATTGAATTAAACAAGCAAATACAAGGATTTATATAAGAGTACAGGGAATAGATAGATAACTGTATTGCTGTTGCGGTTCGATATAGCGCGACTCGGGCAACTGCTCTGTAACGAGTCAGTTGTGTGTCCTTAACTGTCGCGCTGTAATTGTCGAGTCAAAGGTCAGCGACCTTTGACTTTCTCGTAACCTCCAGGCGGTTACCCTAACCTCCGAGGTTGACTCGATGCTTCGATTGGGACTGCTTCGCTTGGTACCTTGGATTTTGATACGACAGAAGCGCACTTAGGACTTATTGTTTCCAACACTCCCCTTCGCTTCTGGAGTGTTACTGCTGGTGACGTGGCCTTGTCCAGTCAGCATCATGCAGTATTCGAACTTCTGCTTGCCGAGTTTCTTGGTCAAGTAATCGGCTGCCATCTCGGATGTTGGACAGTATGACAGATCGAGTTTCCCTTTTTCTATCTCGTCCTTCACGAAGAAATAGCGCAGGGCGATGTGTTTCGTCCTGTTTGCGAAGCCGTTTTTGTTGGCGATGCGAATTGCTGACTGGTTGTCGCAGAACACGGTGAAGCTGGGTAACTCGGCTAGCTTTGCTTCTTCCAGTAGTTCGCGAAGGTAAAGTCCCTCCTTGGTGGCTGAGCAGAGTGCAATATATTCTGCTTCTGCTGAAGATAGTGCGATTAACTCCTGCTTGCTCGACTGCCAGGAGATAGGACCGATAGGCTCAAGGCGGTAGACATAGCCGGTGCGTGAGCGCCTGTTGTCGGTGTCGCCGGCGTGATCGGCGTCGACGTAGCCGATTAGCTTAGTCGGTGTAGCTGCGCTCTTGTGGTAGGTTAGCCCGATCGTCGCGGTGCTGACGAAGTAGTGGAGAACGCGATCAAGTTCCGCCAGGTGTTCAGCTTCAGGCTTCTTGAGATAGGTGGCGAGCTGACTTGCGGAGTAGGATAAGTCAGGACGGCAGGTGACGGCGGCGAATAGCAGGCATCCGAGCTTCTTCTGATAGTCGCGTATGCCGGCGGGCTTGAGTAGAATAGTTCGTTCCTTCTCGGTTCCTGATGTGTAGCGGTAGGGCGTGGAGATGGCGCTTGGTGTGAGGCTGAAGCGTTTCGCGATGGTGTCGGCGTATTTCTCGGCGCTTAGATAGATGGCGTTTTCTTCTTCGCGGATGTTGAGCCCGAGGTACTGTGTAACGGTGGAGGAGACCGTGAGCGTGAGGTCTTTCTGGAGCTCTCCTTCGAACCACGTGGCGATGCCGTCGGTTGACCCAATGTAGAGGAGATCGTCCACGTAGACGATCAGGAGAACGTAGTCGCTTCCCTTAGTGAGGCGGTACATGCCTTGGTCGTGAGGTAGTTGACTAAAGCCGATGCGGATGAGACGGGCGTGCAGGTACTGCTGCCACAGTCGCGGTGCCTGCTTGATCCCGTAGAGCGACTTAAGTAGTTGACAGATTCGGTTGGGTTCGCCGTGGGAACCGTGCGGGAGCTCGACGTAGATTTCTGCATCCACAGGTGCGTAGAGGAAGGCATTCGCGACGTCGATCTGCCGTAACTTCTTCTTCTTCATGGCGGCAATGGCGAGGAGAATTCGGAGTGACGTGTGGCGGCTGACTGGAGCAAAGGTCTCGGTGAAGTCTCGTCCTTGCTCTTGGTCGAATCCACGTACGACCCAGCGTGCTTTGAATTTTTCGATCGTGCCGTCTGCTTTCGTCTTGATGCGGAAGACCCATTTCCCGGTAAGGATGGTTTTGTTCCGTGCCACGCTTACGGGAACAACCTTCCAAGTGTTGCGTTCCTCTAATGCCTTCAGTTCTCTATCCATGGCTTCACGCCATTTCTCCCTGTGTTCCCCCCCCAGAGCCTGCTGAACCGTTGCAGGCTCCTTAGGAAGCGAGCTGCGTGTGTTCCCGTGGACTGCGGTGACGAGGCCGAGGATTTGCAGCCCAGTCTGTGAGTATCGAGGGAGTTCTGGATCCTCGGGATAAGCTGCTTCGTCTCCCGTTTCTGGGTCGGGCATGAAATTCGGCCCTACCCTTTCTGCTTCGTTGGTGTTGACTGTCACAGGTGTTACGTAACCATCGTCGGCGAAACGGTAGAAGATTTCGGCGTTGTTACTGTCGCGAGGATTATCCTCATCCATGGGCACGTCGACGGAGCAGTATGGGAGAGGTCCGGCTTCTTCTGAGGCGTTGTCGACGTTCTGTTCATCCCAGTCTGCTTCGTCCGCTGCTGACGCGAAGGCTCGGTCACCACGAAAACCACTGGTGAGGTCCCGATTCTCGTGCAAGTTGGCGAGGTACGTCTGAAGGGTGAGTCTTTCGTAGAAGATCACGTCACGTGCTGCTACTGTTTCCTTTGTGTGGACGTCGAAGATTTTCCATGCGTTGTAATTTTTCTCGATGCCGAGGTGTAGTCCCCACTGTGCCCGTTGCGAAAATCTTCCCGCTCGTGCTTCTGGGGGTCTGTACTGTACCATGCACCCGAAAACTCGTAACATTTTCGTGCTGCCCTGCTTCCCTGTCCACAGCAGATGCGGTGATGCGTTGTTCGGGAGTGACGACGACGACAACAAGTTGTGTAGCATGACAGCGTGGTCCATTGCTGCTGGCCACTGGTGGTTGGGTAGCCGCATGCCACGTAATAGTTTGCGCATGCTGTTCTGCAGGGTCCTGTTCAGTCGTTCTGCAACACCTTGCTGCTGATGTGCGTAGGGAAGGGAGAGGAGTTGCTTGATCCCCCTTTCCGCCAAGAACTGCTTGAAGCGGTGAGAGGTGTACTCGCCACCTCCGTCTGACTGGAAATTTTTCAGTTGTGTTCCAGACTCTCTCTCTGCTATCGGTAGCCAGGCGGCGAATGCTGCGAGCGCCATGTCGCGGCTGGGTAGGTTGCGATGCCAGACGTATCGAGTGGCGGCGTCGATGAAGGTGATGGTGTAGTTGTAGTTGACTTGTCCTGGCTCGCGATTGTAGAGGATGTCGCTGTAGACTTTTTCGAGTGGTGCGTACGCTGGAGCGCTCGGGTTGTGATGTGAAGCAAACGGTCGATGAGGTAAGTCAGCTTCGGGACATATAAGGCAAGTCCCTCGTGCCTTCTGGAGTTCTCTGCCATCGGGTAGAAGTAGAGAATCTTTGTCAAGGACTCCTGCTCTTATCGTGTTATTCAAAACCGTGTTGCTTGGATGTCCTGTTCGTGCGTGCCAGATCTCTTCAGAGGCGCGGTGTCCAGGTGAACGCTGATATGCGTCGGAGTTGGAGTAAAAGCTGGCGACGAGGTTGGCGCTTCGGTGGACTTCACGTTGAGTCGGATTCAGCTGTTTCGCGGGTGTTGGTGGTGCTTCGTCGACTGTGACTGGTGTCGTTGTTCCTGCTGCTGCTGATGTTGTTGCTGCTGCCGATGTTGTTGCTGCTGCCGATGTTGTTACTGCTGCTGATGTTGTTGCTGCTGCCGATTGTCGAATTGTTGCTAATGCTCGTGTTCGTTCTGCTTCAGGAATGGTGTGCGAGTACCAGAAGCCTCCTGGGCTGAAGTCGGGGTCGAGATCCGGAGGGTGTGTCCAGTCAGTGAAATTCACGATGGCGTCGCTGTCTGCAGTGCCCAGGTCAGGAACGAAGTCGAGGACGAAGACGTTGTTCTTCAGCACTGCTTTCCCGATGTAGAGACCGCCTCTCCCGTGGTAAAGTTTGAACTCCTGGGTCGTGCTGTCGGCTTCCAGATGAATTCCTTTCGCCATCAACTGGCTAACGCTCAGTAAGTTGTAGCCGAGTCCTTCAGCGATGAGTACCTTAGACATGTGCAGTATGACATTTGTTTCTCTTGACTGAAGCTGTACCACTCCTTGTCTTCGTGTGCGCAGGTTTTGGTTGTTGGCAACCGTGATGATCACTTCCCGTTGGAGTCGATGTTCGCGTTGTACGAAACGCCCGGACGAGCACATGTGTTGCCCGCAGCAACTGTCCAAGAACCAGGTGTCTTGGCCGGACGGTTCACTTTGAGCGATGGCGGCGTACGTTGGATTCGGCTGGAGTAGCTCACGGCGAGGCGTTCTGTTGTCAAGCTCTTCTTCCGGTGAGTAGTGTGGTGGTGATTCGGTTGTACATGAATCGGTTATCTTCGTCATGCAGTTGATTATATTTCTTGCTCCTTGTGCAGGTTGTCCGGGTGAAGTCGTTGAAGCTTGAATAGTGGTCGTCGCACTTGCTTGTGTTGAAGCCATTTGGGAGCTTGAAGGTCGAAGTTGTCGCTGTGGTGCCGTTGATTGCTGACGATTCGGGCAGTGTGTGCGCGGGTGCCCTGAAGTCTTGCAGATGTGGCAGAAGGGAGGTACTATCTTCGGTTGCTGCTGTCGGTTGTTATAATTGCTGTGTCGTCGTTGAGTGTGGAATGCGAACTCTGATACTGTCGTTTTCTTCCTGTGTCGTTCTTCCTGCAGGTCCATATCTTGCTGCTCGGCATGTATTTCGGCGCAGAGTGCAGCTTCAGAGATTCTTCCGTGGGCTCGAAGAATGGCTTTGGTGGCGCGCCACTGAGGACCAAGTCCACCAATGATGACTGTCACGAAGGCGTCTTCAGAGATTGACCCTCCGCATCGAAGCAGCTTGTCGCGCAGTTC